AGGCGGTTCAATCACTTTTATCAATTGTGTGTTCACAATCCTCATATAAATATTGGTAAAGTTATCAATGACTCATCAGCGTCTAACTTTATACTGAAGTGTTTTGATGCAAGCATATTCATATATATCAGATATTTAAAATCATAAATATGTACTGTGACACGTATTGTGACGAGATCAACAGTCCATATATGACAAAGTGTAGAGTATGTTTTACGTTCTATTCCTATTATCTTGTCCACTTTGCTCAGAGGTTTATGTTTCCGGTAGATATATTGTGTAAGATTAAATTATATAAATTTTACTTTGTCCATCATGAGTTACGTTGGAATTAAAATGTGTTGATATTCTTCTTAATGATTGTTGTTATCTGTCTGGAGAAAAAAGGCCATAATTACTTACTTTTTATCTGTAATTCTATATATATATATATATATGAAGAATATTGTTCAAAAGTCCACTTTTAATCTCCTTGATCCATAGGATTTGACTTGTGTTATTAGTTGAAAACTATTTCCATCTACTTTAGTCCATAGCTCTTAACTGAATTGAATTTCTCCTGTTACTCCCAATAGAGCATAGGCCGTCGACCAGCATTCTCCAACCCACTCTATCCTCAAACTTACTTTCTAGTTCTATCCAATTGATGTTCATTCTTCTCATGTCTGTCTGCATTCCTCAGCGTAATGTGTTCTTTGGTCATCCTCTTCTCTTCTGGCCTGAGAATTCCAAGTGTGGGCTTGCCTTGTGACGCTCCACCTGGAGTCCCTCTTGGGCTATTGCGGTCGCAAACCCGGACAAAGGAGGAGGGCTAGGTATAGTGCTAGTGACCCCATCCCGTAGAAAACTAACTCGCTAAAAAGACGCTAACCAGAAAAAAAATAAGTCAAACCAATTGAACTTTGTCCTGGGAGTTGGAAGCTCTTCATTTAAAAGAGTTTTACGACCCCTTATGGTGAAAGCCAAGTTCCTTCGGAAGTCACGAGGCTGATGTTCCTTCTGATAATCAGAGCAACCATTAATTTAAGTACACGGAATGCTCGTACAATGTGAAAGACCGGGAGAGTCAAAAAAACATTTTTACGTATCGCATCATTTTTAATACCAATAGATATGTGCAAGTCATTCATTGTTGAAAAGTGTGAAATTTGTAAGATGAATAATTATTCGACTGCATCAATCACATAGAAAATTAGTGCCATACGATATTCTTGTCTTCATTTAACATGAACTTGATTCAACATGACACGCAGAGTGTGATTTGTGACTTCATCCTAATTTAATAATCAAAATGGATGGACAGTCAATATATAGATGAGTGTATCCTCGACTAGGATTGTGTTTTGGGGTTAATAATTCTTCACTTGTACTAGATTTGATATTCTTACTTACTGCAGTGGTTTCTCATTTTATATGTATAAGTAGTAAGCGATTCCAACGTAACAATTGGCGACATAGTCACAACTGACAACAGGAATTTTGAAAACAAAGGAAACCATAAAAAGCGCTGATAGGATCAATCTACAAGTTTTAGTTCCAATATAATATGGAATTTCAATATGATCAAATTGCACAAAGCACTCAGTATTTCTGGAAAATTTTATCATGAACCGTCGTCATCAGATCTCAGTATGCGTTTTAGTTATCTAGAAATACCCAAAGAATCTAATGATATTTATCTTGTTTATTCAGACAAAGTGAATGTCACACACAAAAGTGTAAATATTCTTTCAATAATTCAAAGTCAGTTCAATTGTAATATAAAGTCACCTACTGATCCTTTTGAGTATAAAGCACATACAAATGTCCCATTCAAACGCTTTGGAGATAAAGAGAGACTAAATGCATTGTTACTAATATGTCGAAATGCAAAATGTGCCTTATTATACAGCGATATGTAGTGTTGGTTATTGTGTAAAACCCACATACCTTATTCTAGCTTTCGGACAGCCCATTCTATTCATTCTACTTGAGTCACATTCTGACCTTGTTAATTATTCGCTTATCAATCTTGACTGTTTTTATAGGAGCGCGTAGGTGTGTGTACATTTCTTATCCTATTACTCATCACATGTCTGTAACTTACTTTTGTGTAACTATAAATATTGATTAACATTTGGTTAAATGGGAGTTGGCTTACCCGCCATCTCCACTCCGCGTCTTTTCTCTTTCTCTCCATTCCATTCGCTTTATATACAAAATATATGTATTCACGAGTCCATTCTCGTTATTCGACTTATTTAATTCCGTTATTGACTAACGCGATTTAAGTCGATGATTATATACGAGGATAGGAGTCAACCAACATTCATTACGATCTAATTGGAGTCAGATCTCGGGCCACTAAAGTGGAGAGCTCTTTGACAAACATCGTCCGATCTAAATGACGACAAAATTAACGGGCCTCCACGAAAAATACACTTCCCTAATGATTAATATTAATAGGATTATATTGTTAAATCGAGAGACAAACGGAATAGTAGAATCAACAGTAATGACCTATTATGTTTATTCTATAAATGATACGAAATTCACAAGTATATCTTGCATCAATTATGGTGATTCCCTAGTTACTATCATCTGGTATTAATATCGAGTTGACTTTCTATTTTTTGTCGATATCTACCAACATCATCGACAACCATACAACCGTTCTATTTTCACTACTAAAACACCATCCAACAACACTACCACTACTAATAATACTAATATTATCACTAATACTATCAATACAATTACCACAACGACAATTCGAGAACTCAAACATTTCAGAAGTACCTATTTCCATTATCATCTCACTTGTCAAAATATATGCTTGGTAAGTATATTTGTGAATAATCAGTAGTGATATCATTCACAGTCATTTCCACCACGGTCTGTCGACAAAAATATAAAATTCAAACTATTCAGAGTGCACACTAAACAAAATTCTGTATAAGGACATCGATTTCAAAGCTGACAAGTGATTTCTGGCTATCTCTCAAAATAATCCTCTCTACAGAAACCTTTCAATTAGTATTTTGTTTTCAACCAGTCAACAATCAGGAACAATTTAGAGACCAATTTAACATCAGTTAACCACTTCACCTACTGTTGCTGAGCCAGTTGCATAGGTCGATCAATAAGGATTCAATCCAACAAAATGTGAAGACATTATTGGGTTTCGCTGAGAAGAAACATGAACAGATCAAAAAGAAGCTTTATAATCGAACATTTTCTGAATACATTTATCAATTATATCACTTTCCTCTTATTTTTCTCTATTCAACTTCTACCCTAAACCAATATATTTCATTTTCGTTGCACTCTCTTTCTAATCATGGTTCATCTCAACGTCGGCACTTCATTTTATCATATCACTCAACGTTTATCATCATCATCATAATAATAATAATAATTATCATCACATTGTGGTGTGTGCTACTTATATTGACATAAGTAGTATATGACGCGAGTTAAAAACGTAATGTCTGGCAGCAAAAGATGGCGGAAGATCAAGAAAGGAAGAGCATGAACACAATGCAATTTGTATGAAAACGCATGAACAATGGAATGGGAGACAATGGATAGATGTTTGCAACAGGAACAGTCCAGTTTGATATGATGGATTGATATTTTGCAAAATGACGATTTACTATATGGTTTTCAGATTTTATTGAGATACTCTGTAATGTTGTGCTAAATACGATTCGATTGTCCCCACCCATGTTCTGATCACCACAACATCATAGTAGCAATAATGGACAAATTATCAAATATCATCCTGAGAAACAAAATATCTGCAATTGTACGCCTTGAAAATGAATTCTCCGAAAAAAAAACAACTTTTCTCTAAACTGAACTTTGTAATTTGATTCTTAATAAGTGGATTCCGTTTAGTTTTAAATTACATACCTAAATCTAGTGTGCATTTGTTGGATCCCACAAGTCCTATCTATCTCATCTGCTATATCCTCCCTTCCCCATATATAATTCATACTTGGCTTTATATTCATCCGTCGTTGACACTATTCTCATACTTTACTCTCTCTCTCTCTCTTGTATTTGAACCATCTTATCTCCTATTTCTTACAAATAACCTAGAAGTGATGAGATTACGCCATGGTGTTCGGCTTATTCTTGCTCATTTTTGTTTTGTTTTTAATTTTGCTAGTCAGTGTCCCTCCTCCTTTTTAAAAATATATATGTATCTGGATCATCTTGAATCCTTTAACTTCAGTGAACTTTTCCATGTGAAATGTTACAATTGAAAATTACTAATTTATTGGATTAAATGGGTTCCAAAATCATCTAAAAATCACATGAGTAGAGGTGGTGAACTAGTGCGACAATCAAAATATATAACAGTGGAATTCACGATTCGATCTAAGCTAGACCACCATTGAATGTCTGAGAACACTGGACGGCCGTTCTGTTCCATTATGGTACTCCTCATCAGTGTCAATCTCCGACCTCGAACGTGGGTCTCGAACACAGGACCTTCGGTCTCGCGCGCGAATACTTAACCTCTAGATCACTGAGCTGGCATCCAGTAGTCCTAACGTCTAACTTAAATTGATCCATGATCATATTCAACCATTTATTGATTGTCTGAGGTGGATAGCTGTCTCACATCCAACACGTATTGGACTCCACTGGATCTCCACAAATCCCCATACTGATCAAAATATATAAACTTTTTTTCAAAAAATACTAACGAACTAAGAAGACTAGTTTAATTTGTGTAATTGTTAGACAAACTATAAGAGTCAAAACTCTAAACAATGAGTATTATTTGAAAGAAAATGGGTCAAACTAATCCAAGATAAGAATAACAGGCATTTAAGTACAATGTGGTTAGTTGCTCGACTACTAACCATATTTATAATTAATAATTCTAACAGCTCAGTTAGAGTATATATTTGACAGACTACGTTTAATTATCTAGCCACTTCCCATAAATAAACCGTCATATGTTGAAAACACTTCAAAAATAAAAAGTTCTATTAAAACACAAACCATCATTCATAATCATTGAAATCATCATTATGAGAGGTAACATTTAATAAGGTGTACAATCTATATGGAGGTAGAACAAAGTAAACGGATTGTTGTTGACAAAGGTGATTATCATGAGAATATACAGAATTATCACTGTCTTTTAAATTAATCTGTTTCAATCGCCAATGATCGGCAGAATTCGATAAAGACAGTGTTGATGTTGTGGTGGATCGATGATAATGTGGAACATTCTTAGTTCTGTATTTCAATGTGAATCGACAATTTCTTAAAAATGTCGGTGAATTCAAATAAGTTTTCAATGCTAATTTAATTGGTATCAAGTTATATTTTTTATTTGAAGTGACTTCAGATGAAAATGATGTAGAGGATGTAGAGGACAATGAAGAGGTGTTACATTCAGAAGTTGTATTATCATTTGTTAATTCATAAAAATTGAATGATAAATCAACGCCTTGATCTAATAAACGTTTCCACTGACAACATAGTCGTTTCCAAATTAAACAATTCAATCCTAATAAAAGACGTGCTAATTCCAAATTATCTTTAGGACTTGTTGAGGATGAATCATTATTCGACAGGATCTGACAAGGAACACCGCTAGATGATAAGGAAGGTATGATAAACGGATGACCCAATTGTACCAATGCACTGCCGCTACCGTCAGTGATTACAAATCGTATACAAATGCCTAGATTAGCAAAATCGTCATTTTCTAAAATCGAAAGTGAAAATCAGGTAAGAGTCGATCAATGTTCGAGTGAGTGGACACAAACAGGATCCAGATAAAGTATTTATTATTGGACTGTGAAAATGAAGTAGTTTTCAACACAACCTAACTGTTAGAGTTATTGTTACGTCCTAGATCTGTCCGTTCGCGAATCCAGCTTTGACGCGATAGATTTCTTAGAACGACCTTGAGATTTCCAACGCATGTGTTCGACTAATGACTAGAACGGTCTTGAGGGGAAAGAGAACAAAACCATCCTATCACTAAACTATGATGACCTGATAGGTTAGTAAGTGGATAGCGAGAAAATGATATAACTGGGACTGTTGTACAGTTTATTCCAATTAACCAAGATAATGTCCCAAAAATAGCTCTCGTTGTTTATAATTGCTTCGTTCTATCTATCTTCATAATAAACTTCCGATTTGATATATTATATCCTGTTACATTGACAATAACATAATGAAATAAATATTCCCTATGTTCAGACTACACACTTGAAATTCATCAATATATGTATGAAGGAACATTGTATTTCCATAATGTCTTAGCCAAAATTAGTTAAGTTTATCAACTGAAAAAATGATTTGTAGGGCTAATTCGCATCATTTACAAGCATTGGGACATTTCCTAATGGTCCTCAAAATGACTGATATTAGCTCTCAGTTAAAATTATTTCTGTTGCAAACACGAGAACTACTGTTATACTTGGAACTGGAAACAATCGCAATTTCAACAATGCAAATATGAACATACAAACTGGTAAAAATGAAAATTTATTTAACCCTCCAAATACACCAATAGTTGTTGCAACTCCAGATAATTGGTACTGATTGCCCAAAACAAACTCTAATCGCATGATCCAAGTGAAAACATGAAACATGTTAGATGAGGATTTACTTGACTCCCAAAAGAAACCAAAATGAATATCTGAATACACTAATTATTCTTTGATTTTTATCTACACAGATCAATAATTCTATTGCAAACATTAAACTAGGTAGTATTAGACATTATTTAATCAATAACTTTATGAACCCATTTACAATATACATAAGATCAATGTTCCTTCTTAAACTGTGATTACATATTATAAACGATTGTTTATTTTATTTATTTATTTTAACACATAGATATTGGCACAAGGAGGCACCAAATACATATGCGCCACACAAATCTCATTTGAAGGCTGTGATAATGCTCGGCTGCCCAAACCGAAGCAGGTGGTGTTCTTAGGGGGCCACTCCCCGAGCCTTCGACCTGAAGGTCTGATCTACAAGGCAGTGGAGCAACGTAAAGAGATGCAGTCCCATGGTAGCCGGTTACCAACAATTGGTTCATACGCTATTTGTTCCCGCAGGATACTGGAGCCCATGTGCACCATTGGTTTGGAATCCGGTTAAAGCACCGGATATTCGCTTTTCGTCCTCCCATTTTCGTAAACAACATCCCCGCCACGAGAAGGCAGTGAGTAGGACTTCCCTGGCAGAGGCTATATACGCGTGGCCATGTGAGAGCATTTCGAGAGGGAGAGCGGACTCTCCCCACTCTCGGCCGCACCAGGGCATTTGGGGGCGTTACTCGTATTGCAATCAATTAAGTTCCTGACTAACAATCTCGATTTCCAAGTCCATACTCTTTAACGTGTATTTTTTTAAATGGATGGAGGCAATCAGTGGGAGACTGTGATTGACCCAATATTTCATGCTAATTAGCACTCATCATCAGCAGGGTATTGTCAGTAATTATTAGAAGAATCAATGCTCAATGTGGCATTATTCAAACTTAAGTCATACTCTGAGGCATAACACTGCAGTACTAAGTCTACGACTGACCAGTTTTCTCTGTAGAATGGAAATATTTATATCGATAATTACTGAGTCCTAACTAATGCCATTTTCGTCTTTAGTGCGGATTGAATTCGGTCGTTCAAGTTGTAACGTGGTCACAAGTCTGAGGTATTCAACATCGCCTAAACTGGATCTTCATGTTACGTTTTCAGGCACTAACACGATCACTGACAAAACGCTGGAAGAACTGTACTGTGTTTCACACCCGAAAAATTGTTGTTTGTTATTACATATGATTAAAAGATTCTTCTCATACAACATAGAATCTAAGCGAACTACGTGGAGCAAACGATTCATGCGCAACACTTTGACAACCATCCTCAAGGCGATGGAGAAGAGAATTCACGAACTAACCAAGAAGCTTGATATCCAAAGACGTCAAAATTGTAGTATAATTATGTTCATACAGAAACACAATGATAAACATACCAGACTGAAAACGAGAACTAAACAGATGTCACTAAAGGTCAATGGGAACAAATGAATTAGAAAACCGTTGTCGAAGACATCCTTATACAGCATCAGAGCTATCATGTATTAACAAAAATAAGGAAACTAGACAATCTGAGATCCATCTAGCAACGATTAACTAAAGAAACCATCTGAAGAAAAAAACACGTCTTCCACTTACGATCATCACCGGCGGTGTTAGATAGACGATAAATTTGGAATTCTAAACATCGAGTAATTGTAGCCTGTACATTGATGCGCTCTTTCAATAAATCGCCTTCTACATTTGAATATCCTGTGGAAATGGATCCACCAATCCAATCATAATTATTACTTATTAATAATTTTGGTTCTTTGGTTACAATTAAACTATTGTCATATTCATTATCTAATGAGATCGTCAAACTATCTGACAACTGTGTACTAATTTTATCCAACATTGAATCCATATTCATCTGATTCACGATTATGATGCGTGATAAATCAGTATAATTAAGGTGTAAACTAGCCAATGATGATGACGTTGGAGTGATTGCAGAAAGTGAAAAATTGGTAAATCTACAATACAATATCATTTGATTAGACGTTGTGAACAATGATACAAGGTCAAGATTATTCACTGATTTAGTCTTTCTAAATAGATTCACCTTGTATACGGTGGCTACGTCAATATTATTGAGACTAGACAGTGTTTTCGGCAATTCACTACAAGTTGTCACCCACAATATACAATCACCACTCAATGAACAATATTGTTTAAATAAAATGACTGCTTCAAAGTTGAGCAAACAACCAATTGGATAATTGGATCGTCGTGCATAATATCATTTAAATTGGCAACATTAACAAAGGAAAGATTCTCTCTATTCATAGGAATAGAGTTGTTTAAAATCGAAACACTAATTAATTGTCGAAGAGGTGATTGATCATGATTAAATGATGTTGAACTGTCAATATTTACCCAACTAAGTTGGTAATGATATCCAATTTGAAAATTATAATACCATCGATAAGCTAAATCACCAGTCAATGATAGATACATCAAATTTGAATCGACACTACTGCCATTGTTAAAAGTAGCAGCATTAGCGATTGCAACAGTATTATTTTCTATGAATTTTCCAGCAAACATATAGGACCATAATAGTTTATTCGAAGAGGGAGAATGTCCATTAGGATCGACAGAAGCTTCAGGAGAACAACAGGATAATGGACCTAGATTGACAAGAACAATTTACAAGACTGTTGTTGTTCCCGTAGTTTACCATAATCATTCATTATACTTTCAGATAAATAATTTACTTGAAATGGAATGATTTGTTTTGCATAAATATACATTCTGGATGTAGGTGATACTGAATCAGTTGAATGAAATGGCATATCAGCACTGAAATTGTGAATAATTATTCAAATAAAGCTGTAGTTTGCTCATATATCATTAACATTAAAATTATCTTTCATAGAAATCATGAACCGATCCACGTTGGACCACGATTAAGAACTTGGAATCACTGAACGGCCATTTCGTTCTAGTACGCAACACCTTAGCAATGTGCATCCACGACCACACACCCAGAACATCTAGTTCCGCACGCGCAAGCACAACTTCTAGACAACTGAGCTAGCACTCAACGATGTGGTGTCTAGAGGTTAAGCGCTCGCGCTCGAGGTCGAAAGTCCTGGGTCCGATTCCAAAGTGCGGAATCGTGAATGGACGCTTGAGGAGTCCCATACTAAAAGGAAACAGGCGTCCAGTGCTTCCAGGTTCTCAATGGTTGTCTAACTCAGATCAACTCGTGATGTTAACAACAAAGTATAACGGAGAGAACTATTGTGCAGTAAACACAAGTTGACAAAAACCAGTCGAGTCTTATGAATCCATGTCGATATTTCGTCAGACAGTACCATATTAGAACTGATGAGACTACCATGATATGTAAATCGGTCGATACGCTGAATCACTTCACTCTGTATAATTAATTGAGGCGCTGACACAAGTTAACCCTGAAGCAACGTTTTGCATTTTGGAGTAATCAATTGGGTCTCATCAAGCTTGCATTGAATTTATGTGAAGTTTGAACTTGAAATCGATCTGTCGAAAGTTGAGCACTTTACAAGTCTAGCTACCAGGATTTTTGTATACAGTGGTGGATGGAGATGCCAAAAAGAATTTACAGAGTTTCAGCGACCAAATTTAGTAAAAGAGGAATAAGAGAGTTATTGTTGACAGCTATCAAAAATTTCTCGACAAAGTCTCTAGACACTCAGAAAAGACTGAAAACGTTTCGTCCAACCAGCATCAAATAGAAAGTTATCAGAAGTGTTCATAAAAATAAAGCATTGTGTCACATTTTGATTGGTCAATTACTTATTTTGTTGCCATATCTAGTGCATTTCCAAAAGTTTCTAGAAGGCCAAGGCCAATCTAAAATACATATATAAGCATGTTTTCAGTAAAATCTCGAAATGAAGCTTTTATTCTTACTTCGTGCCTTTCATTTAGCATTAACTTACAGTGCGAAATTTGTTAATGGATAATCATTGAAATTAACTCGGCAGAAAAATTTGTTGGAAATCATAAAAACATTTCAGAATTTGCATGGTGAAATACATCTTTACCTGTCAGCAATATGTTTCTACATCATTGAATCCAGTCATATCAGTTCTTGTTCAGGTTATTAAGAAAAACTGGCAATGAGATGGAATATGTGATAAGAATCATCTTCAAACAAGAATTTGGAGTGATTATTATTTGACCAGAATATAAGAATAGTTATATTCTATCTGTTTAGGAATTATTAGTGGTATTACACCTATATAAATATCAAACCTATGGAGCTTCAGATTTGTATGAATGTATACGTGATGTAGGATAATTTCATGAACTTACCCCATTGAATTCAATGAGAATTGAAGACTAGACAGATACAATATTGGTTATTACTTCGTGAATAAACAATGTAGATATCTTTGTCCTAAAAAAAGCAAATCATGATCAAAATCACTCAGTTTTAAAGTCTCACAATATGGAACTGAGTGAATCCCATGAAAAGCATCAATTCTCCCTCAAGATCATAACCAAACCTTGTGCGAGTACCAACTACGGAAACACATAGATTGAACAGAAATTCCCGCCAAATGTCTCTAATCAATATTGACAATTATATTACATTTCAATTATAACCTGAAATACAACTTAAGCAAAGATGAGTGGTGGCTGGCAGTGGAATTCAGGATGAACATTTCGTATTATTCGGGATTCGTCAGCTCGATGTACCTGCATCACACAATTGATTTTCACTCCCAAACTTGAACTCAGTACCGTTCACTTCAAACGTCATTGCGTTATCCACTTAGCCACTGAGTCCTGGCATTTTAAGCGACGGTACTTGGTTCGAGTCCCGAAGTGAACATCAACTATGAGATGAGGTACATCCAGCTGAAGAGTCCCAAATAAGATGAAACGCGCGTCCTGGACTCCACTGCTAGTCACCGTCCATCTTTACTTACAATGCTTGTGACTTAAGGCAATATTGAAGCAATACGCACAGGATGCATACACTACCAATAAGAGACTGATCAATTGCAGTCCTAAACATCAATGGGAAGACTCAAACAAATAGTACAAAATGAATTAGAAATATAATTTGTTTGAACGAAAAATATTTGACTAACCAATTTCCAGAAGTGATTATTTCTGCTGAATTCTCTTCTTCATACAATACTTGTACATCCTTCAATAATATTAAACTATGATCGGATGGTAGAAATAATACATTGATTTCATCTGATATATTCATATTAAATATCAACGGAATAGAGACAGTATTATCCTTTTCATTATTATTATTATTACCATCATTATTATCATTACAGAAATGATTAAAAATACTCTTATGTACAGTTTGTAAATAAAAACAACCATGTGTATTATTCCATAGAATTTTCCCAATCACATACAATGATGATTCGAAATGATTCTTTAGCGTTGTTTGAGTCATAGTTGATGTAATCGGAATTAAGCGTTTGAATGAACGACGATATTGTTGAAACTTATTATGATGTAATCTTATTTGTAAGCTAATTTGTATAATACACAAATGAAATAAGAGAAAAGATCAATTTTAAGTTTCGTGTCCTTTCAGTAAAGAAAATATATGGATCAGAATGCTAATGAAAAATAGCATGAAGTAATTTGAAATAGATGGACAGTTCCTAACAGTAGAATCTAGGAGGCATGTTTCGTCCTATTCGAGACTTGTTAGCTAAATACAATTGGATCCTAGTGGTTATATACATTATACTGATATTTGAATCTAATATTCTCTTTGAACGTATAACGCATTATTCATTGAGTTATGGATAGAATGTTTACATCATTATCAGGAGTGGATGCCCATTGCTGAGGAGATGCCTAACAGAACGAAACGGCCGTCTAGTGCTTTCAGGTTTTCAATAGTGATCTAGCTAAGATTGATTCGTGGTTTCGACGGTGAAAATATTGGCGAATTGTTTAGTTATTTTGTTGATATCAGAGAAAAATTCTGATCAATCTTCGTTGAAACATGTATATCCGGTGTGGATTTCCTCTCTCTCTCTCTCTCTTTTCTCTCTCCATATACATAAATGACCCTTTCTAATGACGATTTAGATAGTTATTCGTAATCAAATGTAGTTTCAATTAAAATAATTATTCCTTATTACGATCAGACATTTGTGTAGATGTATTCAGTCATGGTATTGTCTTAACTTAAATCTTAAGTTTTAAACTTATCTTATATTTTCTACCTCTCGAATTTATTCTTTTTTCTGCAATCATAACGTATTTACCTAACGTTTTCCATTAATACTCATAATGTTAGTACTTCTATTACAGTGGAACTTGTTTTGATCATTTTATCACGCTGTGCAGATATGTATATGGAGTGGGAATTTCAATCAATGTGCATAGATCCTAGATTTAAGTCAGCTATTCAGTCAGTAATACACAACGTAGAACCTGGAACAGAATATCATTTATGAATAACTAACCACTCAAGTTAAGAGCTTCAAACGTAATAATAATAATAATCAGTGTGGAGCTGTGGAGATTGTTGGATTTCAGTGAAATCACAAACTGATCTTAGTTAGACAACCACTGAAAACCCAAGTTTTTAGTGAGGAGCCTTCACAAATGGAATTAAACCTCATCGAGTGTGAAGAAATTATCTACCGAAAAAAAGGAAGATGATCGCGCAATATTATGGATTAATTTGGGTTAGACTTATACATAATTGGATCCCGGCTAAAATGGTTTAGAGACTGTGCTCACGGACCAGATCGAAGGTCCTGGATTTGACTCCTATTTGGGTGGATCGTGGGTGTACATCCCTGAAGAGTACTGTTATATCCGGTGAAGATTAAATTACAGTAACTTCCAAGGACTATTCATGGACTAATATTCTATAAATATTCTTATTGTATAACTACTCAACAATTACACTATGTATATTTATATTCCTTTTATGATAGCTTTATTTTGACCTATAATTTATTACTGTACGATTTACGGTTCTTAAGCTATGCTCAGTCTATTAATTATTGTCCCCTCGCTCACAGCACTTTTGGCTATTTGTGTACACATGTTATTTTCTATTTTATGGTACGTTGTGGTCTGTCTGATTGATATATAAACCGAGTATGTCTAAATAAACGATTCGATTCATATTACGGAGCTGTATTGTGTTCTGGACTCAAGTGGAAGGGCTAGGAGTACATAGGACCAAGGACGCTAAACTGCCCACACCGGTTGAACGTCATTGGTTGGCCTAGTGTGAAGATTCGTATAAGTCGTATTCGAATTGGTGGATAATTCGTGTGATAGAAAAGCCAGACGTCAAGTCATAACAAGTACCATGCTAAGACGAAACAGGCGTCTAGAGCTCAATTATTGGTTCCACTGAAATAATGATAATAACAAAACAATACACTCAATGGACGAAGAACTAAATTTCTTTTGAGTCGAGCAAAAATTTTCAAGACATACAGTGTTTTGCATACTTGAACATGCCATAAATGGTTCATTGTTGTTGACAATAATGACGATGACTTTGATGGTATAAATTGTGTACAATAAGAGGAATAAATGCATTTAAAACACTGATCTGTTGTTGAAAATGTACAAATTTCTTCAGAATCATTGTTCAATTCATTGATTTGTCAATAGATTGAAGCCTAGCAATAATATCGTGTAGATCAATGATACTATCTTTCACGAAATTGAAGGATTGATAATTTTCTTGGACGTTGGATATGAATGGGAATTGTATAAAATCTTCAGCATATTGATATGATTTGAAGTTGATATTTCTTGATTGAATGAACAAATTGGATATTAAGTGTTTGAATGATCCAGACAATGTACAGTCTTGATTTCTTAATCTATTCTCCTGGAAATAGGAAATAATTATATAAACTAAAGTACATGGATAACTGTTAATCAGAATATTATCAGTATTAGCGTTACTTACTGTAAAATTAATAAGTAGTATAAACACTTTCTACTAATAATGAAATAATCATCATACCAGCTAAACAAGTTAGTGATTATCTGGACTCAGTAGCTCAGAGGAGAACATATTGAGAACGCATGAATAGATTATATTTAGCACAAAGTATCTATTAAATAGCATAGAGAAAACATCATCACTCATTGTTACTAATGTTATCTCACTGATTGAAATCATGAGTCAATTGGAAGTAGACAACCATGGAAAACCTGGAAGCACTAGATGGCCGTTTCGTTCTAGTACGGGACTCCTCGGCAGTGCGCATCCACGATCCCGCACCCCGCGAGATTCGAACCCAAGACCTATCGGTCTCGCGCCAGGCGCTTAACCAACTAGACCACTGATCCGGCATCCAACGGTGTTAGTGTCTAACTTCAACCAATCCATGAAGTTGCGCCACCGTACACCATTGTCTTCAGTGAGTTACTATCTCACAACAGACCTGGTTGAACTCCACTGGTAACGGCTTCTCACTAGAACTCCAGGAATATCTTTGAAGTCAGTCCCATACTAGGACGAAACGGCCGTCCAGTGCTTCCATGTTTTCCATGGTGGTCTAGCTTCAATTGACTCATGATTTCAATCGGTGAAATTTCTAAAATCTCCACAAAACCCCTTCTGATACTAATGTTATCTGTATCACTGATTTCAATTCTACATGATATATATAGTGATGGTGTTGTCAAAAATTACACTGATATAACCGAAATTGAAAAAATTAGCTAAGAAAACATACAATCACTAGAAAATGCAGATTTACCAACAGTTATAAGTAGTTGATATCAGTAGTAAACTTGGCCTAAATATGAACTTCTTCATAACACATTTTTATATATTATAATGTTAAAAGTGTGAACATAGTAATTATGTGTTGTTCTAAGAATTGATATTGATACATAATCTCTTTATAAACAAAACCAACCAGCTAATCGAGTTAAAATACTAAGAGTGAGGAACGGAGTTTATTGGCTAAACCGAATCAAACATATGTGTACTTATACATATACATATGTTCCTTGGAAATTAGGCCGCCATTGTTATATGTTTCATTCCTGAAAAATGAAAGCTATTTCTTGATCAATCACATGCACCTATCATCTAGTCGATTTCTGATTGACCCCATATATCATCTTTTTCTTCAGATAATAAATCTTGTTTTTCGGATTCAGCTTAAGGTATTCGGATGGAGTTACATCAGTGCAAAATCATGAATGTAATACATTTTATTTTATTGATGTATCTAGAACTAGGAATAGTAACTCCTAGGCTCAACTACTCCAAATGAGGAAATTTATGACAATGAATTAATTATCAGTATAGACTATAGAAGATCGATTCAGGCAATCAACACTTGCTATAAATATATACACATAATTACATTGAAAATGCAACAGAAATTTAGCATACTAAGAGAACATTCATGAACTGGCAAAAAGCAGCATCCTAAAACGCAATCAAAGCGAGGAGTGGCTCCCATGGGAGAGATTTGACTCAAAAAAGTAAAAAATTCAAGTAACTAGTAAGTAGGTGTTTTATTGAAAAGTTAACATCTCCAACACCCATACAAAACAAGCACTATAAATGAAACACAGTGGTTTAGTACACGATTTAAATACTCAACTTCTAAGCACAGATTGAAACTCTACTCACCTTTCTTCAACTTACACAGGCGAATAGTATCAGTTGGAGATGTTGAGATCTCCCCGTCACCTCCTAAGAAAAAACCGCCTACTTGTAATTTTCTATTTGTATATGTGAGTTTTTTTCCGTGAGATTTCCTTCAGGGGTTATCTTATCATTTTTAAAGCAACCAAAGATAACTTCTTTCCCACTGATTGGTTGTCTTTAAATATACCACATTTTGGCCCTACTTTCAAGGATATCATATATATTACGTTACAACTGTCTGTCTAATTTATTCTTTCCCACTGTCGACTAATAAACTCTTTAGAACAATATTAATTTATTGAGTTAAGCCAAGTTTTAAAAAAAGATAAAATGAGTTTATGTTATTCAGTGTATCTGAATTCAAACTATAATTTTCCTGTCATTTAGACAAGCTATCAGTAACTCTCATAGAGAAGTGCCTATCACAAATGTGCATTAACACAAGTTCTCAATACTATATTGTCACAATGAGACGAATTGAAAAAGATGAATAGCAAAGTAACTGAAATAATAATCATGAGAAAGATTGAACATTGAGTATATAGTTCAAAAAGACAAAATGAAAATGTATGTATAAAGGAGTATTGAGACTCAAGATCTACAACAAAATAAAAAGTGAAGGTATCCAGCGCAATTGTAATCCATTCCGACTTAGGTTAACCAACGTCTCTAATTACTGACAATAATAATAATAATAATAATAATAATAATAATAATAATAATAATAATAATAATAATAATAATAATAATAAACTTAACCAGATAGCCTACATCTTTCATTACAGTTAATATCAAAGATTTTATGAACTGATTTCATGTCTTCATTTAGTTGCCCCGAAGTTTCTTCCAACTACATCTACTCCAGCCAACATTACACGATGAGATAGATGATAGTTAAAAGAAGTGTGTTATAATCTCTTTCTTACGGTTATGACCCAGCTATTCCTATTGCTTAGTATTCTCGGACACGGATTCACTCGACAAGTCCCTAAATCAAAACACGGTTGAACAGGAAAGTGATTACATTCCAAATAACAAGGTTAGATGGAAGTAAGAAGCAAGTCCGAAGCACAATAGAGAAAACGTCAGTATATTTATAGTTTTTACATGAGAAGATTCTAGAGTACTCTCCAACTATCGACTAGTGCTGATTGGATAAGAATTAGCCAATCAGCGTGCACCAAAGCAATCGTGAACTGAGCATGCTTTAATCCGGTCTACGTCCCGCTAACAAAGTGTAACACATAGCTTAGTTACCTCAGTCACTAAAGATTCCTAACCTTATCAATCATATTTGATTTTAATAAAACATTTCAAATAAAAAAGCACAACAGTTTTAATGATTTTTAATAGTTGAGATCATGAGTCAATTTGAAACTAGACAACCATGGAAAATCTGAAAACATTGGAGGGCCATTTCGTCCTACTATGGAACTCCTCAACAGTGAGCATCTACGATTCCATTTCACGAAATTAAAACCCAAGATCTATCAGTCTCACGTGCGGGCACTTAATCACTAGACTACTGAGCCAGCCGTCATCCAATGATGTTAATCTCTAACTTCAATTAATCCATGAAATTAAGCGACATATCCACTAAACATACCTTGTAATGTATAACTTCTTCCTTGTATTGTAAACTATTGATTTGATAAGCCAAACAAAAATTAAATAAATAATTTAAATCATGTAATAATAATGAGAATTTCTTTTTATTCAATTGTTCATCAAAATTAAAACAATCACTTTGACAATGAATAGTTTGCTTGGAATATATAGTAGATAATTTATTGTCTGTGTCTATGGTTAATGATGATGATGAATAGATGCCTGGAATAAGTAGAGCATAGAAATGTGTTTTGTTATTATCATGATTAGTATCAATGAAAAATGACCAAATATTAAATAGTTTAATATTTTGTCGATATAATAACTTATCAACGGATTGAATAATTTTATCAATATTTAATAATAAATAATGTTGGTTACATTTTGGATGATGATGAGGATGATGATTGATTCGTTCGAATTCCAAAAAAATTCCATTACAATGACTAGAGATAAGAGATAATTCTATGGAAGGAATTAACCCTACAGGAAATGATCTTGATGATGATGATGATGATGATGAAGTAGTAGTAGTAGTAGTAGTAGGCGAGAATGACTGTGACAAACAGCATTCATGAATACAGTTTGAAGGTATTCTAGAACGAGGTAATGATTCAATATATGTTTGATCTGGTATAAAAAGCCATACTTTACTTTCTCGATTCTATGAGAAGTAAAAATAACAACAAAAAAACAGAAAATATAAAATCATCGAAAAGATTCAATAAACGGATTATATAAGACTGTGATAATCAACTTCTATACAGTATAAAATAAGACTCAAATTTATTGTATGAAATGCTATTCGTTTGTAAAAGCTTGTAGTGACCTACTTTTATCAAGAGAATGCGATTGGTTTAATGGAAACAATTATTGTTATAACCAATTGTACGAGTGATTGTTTTACTGTACTTATTTGTTTATCTGTACCAAAATACATACATTCTTCCGTTGATTGTGACCTTGCACGAATTCGGTTACGCTCAGTAACCAAACTTGTAACCTGGCACGACCTCGGTATCCTTTAGATTCCACGAGATCGCCAGCAAATACATCTCGACTACAGCCATCAACTGCCTTCTGTATAATCTTATCGGTTAACTGGAACGCAGTCTTCCTGTAGTGTTAATCATAGTCAACCGCGACTCGACGCTACGCTACAAGCTTAAGCAGTCGAATTCAAGAGTGAAATAATGGCCTAATCAGTATGGACTGAATGTTCATATTATAATATCCACAGTTTCACATTTTCAGTTTTAACAAACAGAAACTTCTGAGTAGATTTCCCGTAAGTAATCCTTTGACACTAGCGTCGCTTAAAGGTCATCCATAAATTATAAACAATAGGTTCATATGCCATTTGTTTCCTTAGGATACTGGAGTCTATGTACCACTGGTTTGGAATCAGGGTTTTCCAACTCAACTAGGTGGACCCTCCATATCTACCAACCGGTTAAATCGCTAAACATTCGCTTTGCTTCCTCTCAATTTCGTAAACAACAACCCCCACCATGAGAAGGCAGTGAGTAGGACTTTCGTGGCAGTGGTTGTATGCATGTGGCCATGTGAAAGGATTTAGAGAGAGATGATGGAAAGAAAAGTCAATTTTCGATTGAATTACTCATTATGAGTTTTACTCAACATTCAACATCCGTTTGATTCAACGTGAGGATCATTCAGTGTAGTATTTGATTTGTTTTCCCAGTATGATATTTTCTTCTGTATATTATACGATATTCTTGTATTCCATTGACATGAACTATGCTCAGTAAGTGATTTGTTATAACTGAGTATGTGATTTAATCCTAATTATTAATCAAAATGGGTGTACAATTATTATATAAATGAGTGCATTTTAGACTATTATTATTCATTCATTATTATTATCATCATCGTCGTCGTCATAATGTTTTGGGGCTAATAAATCTTCACTTATACCAGTCTTTGTGTTCTTACTTTCGCATCGTGGGAATTGCCGAGGTCCTTCGTTCCAAGTATAAGTGATCAGCGTTTTCCGGCACAACAATCAGTGACGACTAAATATAACAGAGAGCTGACTCTCTCCACTCTCGGCTGTACCAGGGTATTTGGGGCGGGGGGGGCGAATAAACATAAAACCACAAAACTATTTATATTGAATAAATCCATAAGAAAACTGTTTACCTGTTTATAATAGATTCGACTTTCTTTTAAATTATGTATAGAAATCCAACATCTTATTGGACAATGATGTAAAAATTGTAAACATTTCTCTTCAATTATTGTATTATTATCATCATCATCTTTTACATTCCATTGAATAATTACATTATATATAGAATGATAAAAACAATCTGAATTTGAAGTGATTTTAATGAATATAGTATATTTATTTTTGATAAGAAATTTTCGACTAATACATTGTACAAATCCATAGATAGAACAAGACAATGATAATGTCGAAGAGGAACAAGAAGAGGATGAGGCGCTTAAATATAACTGAGACATTATTATTATTATTTTTAAAGTATTCAAATTAAATTAAACTCGATCATGATGTTGAAGATTGACAGATAAACTAGAAACATTGATCATTTAATACACTGAAATAGATGAAAACAAAAATGATAACTTATAATGTAATGGTGCATACCTGAAAGTCAAATAAATTCAGTTAGGTTTTATAATAAGAAAAAAAATAACTATTTGAGGTTTATTGTAGTCACATACTGATAACTGAGAAATCATTGAATATATGAAATATAAGACATTTGTATCATTATAATTAACGTGTAGTCAAGACCTCCATTGTAAGCACGTTTACTTTTAAATCAATGAGTTCAAGTGACTTGCTATAAATTTGAGTATTCCTTCTGAAGCAAGTACAAGTGAGCACAAAATGAGAATCTATTTGAACTTGTACAACTTACAAAAATCTATTTTTCAAGACAAATAATGATTCAACTCCCATATGCAGTCTTCTAACCACCTTAACAAACAATGCAAGAATCATCGGAACGTAATTGTATACCCCATCATTTAAAATTTTGATTTAGAGTTAAGTTGCGTTAACGCCACGGGTTCATAAAACTTGACTGATTTTTGTCAACTTGCGTCATTTTGGCATAGGTGAGATATCAATCTGCCGACCAAAAACGATGAGTTTACTGCACAACGGTTTGCTGCGTCCTACTTTGTCAGTGTCAAATATCCTCTCCTCCCCCAAGAATAGTAGATATTCGCACGTTACTAGTATTCCATCATAGGTGTCTTCCAAGCATCACTCGTGTATTTGAGAACTACGAGTCAGTAATGTCGAAGTTCCAAATAGGGTACTCTACTAGGTAATGTTGCTAAATCGATTGATCAGGTAGTAAATTTTCATCAAATGAAGTGGCCTGGACATGTGTAACGTACACTCAAGCACTGACTACCCCATGTTGTCTGGTGTAGTGGTAGGTTGTGAGGAAGACAAGAGAGGCCAAATCGAAACCTGGTATCAGTCCATGAAGACACTGACTATCGGATTCAGTCATGTTAATAGGTGTATATTACTTGATTGTGGTCCATGTAATTATCGTAACCGGAGTTTAGAGACTGGGTAACATGGCTCAAAATGGTTTACAATGATGCAGGTGCATCCATTCTGTCTTCTCTCTCAAATTCTAAACTTCTGGATTTCTCATGTTTTTATTTCACTAATATATATTTTCTTGAATCTTGTATTCGACAGCTGATCTTTTCTATTATCCATATACTGTTACTGACTCTACTACTCTGAGATATGCCCCAAAATTTTCGTATCTCTGCTAATCGGATACGGAAACTTGAAGCGTTGTACATACATACCAGGTTCTACGTTGCGACTAACTGACCTAAATATAGTAAGTATCCATACATTCAACCACATCGAATAAGCATATATTTATATTGTTACAACGGGCAGAAATGAAAGATCACTATCTAATTTTAGGTAGACCACCAATGGTTGCATGAGAAAAGCAAGGAAGCCTAACAATTTTGACTTATGATTTTCCTACTAATTAGACCTAGTGAACAGACCCAGTAGATGCAAGGTTACCCTATAACATTTTAAAGAAACTTTGTGCTTCAAGTTCGGTCTCTCTTGGGATACACTTTTTATCTCCAGTCAGTCAGTCAGTCATACTTCATAAATTCGAGTGAAGTGCATTATAGGAAATGATATTTTAGACAGGAAATAGTGTAACTGTCACCTTGCACTCATTATTTTATTGATCTGTTATTTAACAAGTAACAAGATTTTGTTTATTTAGTTGAATATCTTGTATACTAAGTTAACTACTTGAATTCATAAAATAAATCATTAAGCCGATGGTTCTGTCAACCAAAAGTTATTTGCAGTGTTGAGATTGAAGGATTAGTTGTATGTGAACAAAATTACAAATCCTGTCACTTACATCCATTTCAGTAATGTTATCAAGTAATTATGTCTAAATGTATATACATATACTGAGTATACTGAATACTATGTGGTTAGTTAACTCCAACTTTATTTATCTATACTATATACATTTTGTTATGAGCACAAATTGGCGGATAATGTAATTGATTACCATCTATCTATAGACTCGTACATTAAGCTGTAATATACACAATTATGTGTAAAGGTTAACTACACAAAACAGATTTCCATTAACACGATAGTTCCCGGTATTGTCTAGCTGAAATCTGTTTGTGATGAAAAATTACTCAGCAAACTAAATTCATCGTTATTCACTTTCAGCTTTTATTAGCGCGAGAGTGACCAAATACCAGTATTGTAAAATCTGTTCAAAAAGAAATCTTGTCGGATTATTCACATGCAGTAGGGAAAGGAAGTTCAAGATTTAATTTTTGTATGATTTAATGCATTCCAACAGCTAGATGGAGATGCAAAACATATCTCTGTATACCGTTAAAACATACCTTCCTCTCAGGCTGCTAGGTACCATAAATAACAAAGCATCTAATTGTTTGAAGGGCTTATGAAGGCTGTTGTTGAGTCTTGTAGTTTACACCAGGCAACGACCATGGTTGGTAAACTATGGGAAATCAGGAAACACAGGAGTTATTAGGTTGTACGATATGACTCATTAAAAGGCCCAACCTACAAAACCAATTCGGAATCGAACCCTGGACTTTCGGACTTTGCAGCGAGCACATGACCCTTAGATCTCTGAGCGAGTATCCAATGATTTACATTTTTAACGTAATTGCTTCACACACAACATGGGCTACACTGGTCATGGCTTCTCAATAGAAATTCAGGAACTGAGTAACTAAGTAATCATCAATCACAAATTCTCCTAAGTTTCGAGAATACATCTTGAATCTATTCAATAGTAAGAACACAATCATTGTTTGTCAGCCGCTCTGTGGAGATCAGTTTGGGGCAATGCTATCTCAGTCATGATTGTAGTCATTCTAGTTTTGGCTCAAAGTGACAGCGGAAAATGAGTAATATGGATTATGCATATGCTATATTCCAGAAGACAATTGGACTGCAAGTATTACATCAAGAACCATTACGTAAGTTTACGGTTAATAAAAGATGGTGACAATCGGATCAAAGAACTGAATATGAACTTGTTTTCAGTGAACAAATTTTGAAAAACTATTCACTTGTTGATTGACAACAATTATGAAATCAAACAACAAAATGTTTCCCAAAAAAACTATTTGTCCAATAAATACGCGAACTGAGATCACAAGGATATTCATTGCAAAATTGAACGCAATACAATAAGACTTCGATTGTTTAAAACATCCTTGGTAGATCTCAGAAGTCAGGTTTCTCGATGGCCTCGTGGTAACTAAAATTACTCACGAACAATTTTAAACTGGTACACTTCGTTCTTTTTTTTCTGTTTGACAAAATTCACAGATTAATAGTACTTAAGTACAGAGGGACTATCAAAATTACACTGATACAAGAAAGTTGATGTTTTGCACACAAATTTAACAGCTTGTTTGCTTAACTCTATTCATAACTAACAACCCTAGTAGGTCAGTTCGCATTTTTATTGGACATGCCTATAAAATTATTTATATTGAAGAATAATAACACCGTACTATATTATTGTATATATTTGTCAATAAAAACAAGACACAACATATAAATGTTAGAGAAATGAATGTTATATAGAGAAATGTTAAGTGTAGAAATAGAAAATAGGCAAGATGAAATGAAGCACTAATAATGAACAGAGAGAAGAAGAAAAAACGAAGACTATCTTTTAAACAATAGTTCAATCAAACTACTTTCATTACTGTTGACAATGTAAATCAGGAAGAGAAGCAACGAATAGACAGATTTATATATATATGTATATACAAAGAGAAATCAATTTAAAATGGGGTATGTACTTGAAATAAAAGAGAGAGTACATTAAGTATATTAGGAACTTTTCTTTAATTAAATTTAGAGAATAAAAATGATGTATTGAAACAATCAGCTTTGCGTGTACAACACAATAGATTAATGAGGAGAAAAAAAAGAGAGAAAAATAGCACATGTGGCGATAATACTTTTAAATTTATGTATTATTGTCACATAATATTTATTTGGTTAATACCGGTGAAGATGACGATGATGATGATTGTGATGGTAAACCGTGAATTAACAAAGCACCCAGTTGAGATGATACTGGTTGATTAAATTCTAATTGAGCATCATAACGAGATAAACAATTGAAATGTCCTGGCATCCAATCTTTCAAAGATTCTATACAACCATTTAACCATGTAATCCAAGCATCACGTTCTTGTGATGTATCAGCACAAAGTAAATGTCTATGTGGAAATTGGGAAAATTGGATAGATAAAACAAAACTTGAAAGACTTAAATTTGAAAATGTCGATTGAATATATGCACACACACAGTCTAACTACTCATATACCAGATTTATGTACTCTGCTTTGAGGCGCAATGTAAGTACATGAGCTAGTGCAAGCATTACCTGGTAACTACACTAAACTGAAGTAGGTATTTTTCAAGAGTTCGAACCCGTAACCTACCTCTAATAGCGTGAGTGGTGTGACCATTAGATTATTTATTATATAGAATGAGCGGATAAATGTTGTGCAAACTATCAAAAAAAAGTCTACGATAAGAAAAATAAGGAAATAACTTTTTGGCGCAATAACTTCCCAAATTGAAATTTTAATCCAGTGTTTTAAGTGTAATTCGCTGAGCATTAAAACCTTCAGTCTAGAAAATTAAGAGAATACAACACTGCTGAACGATTTTCAAACAACCTAAAAATAATTACATCTTTATAGATATCTAAATTTATCCAATTGATATTGCGTCATTATTAGATGGAAGAAAATTCTATGCAAAACAGAATGTGCTAGACAATTGCCTTGTCACACTTGGGCGGTAAGTCAGTTAACTGGATTGACTTTCAGGCACAAAGTTGCGGGTTCGAATTCCGTTCCATCTAATTCGGTTTGGTTAGCGAAATGAGATATTATTAAATATTATTTTTAAAAATGCAGATCAAATGTGAATGCATGGAATTGATTGTGACTTTTGCTGTATTGACCAATCGAACAGAGTATGGTTTTAACTACAAGTGTGATGAGTCATATAATAATAGTCTCGAACTAAGACAACACAGAGCTAGATGACTTCCTATAATTCTTAGGGTATAAAAAGTCCATGGTGAGAATTAGCTTCAGATTGAGGAACCATTAATAATTTTAATAAATGAAAAACATAAAGATTTAGTCAACAATTTATTTCACTGATACGCTAAACGAGGTCAGACAAATCAAACAATGTCTCAAAACAGCATGATATATGAAAGACAAAAGTGGACCGGCCTTTTTGAGAATACATAAACTACTCACTCCCCTTACAAATTACCTGAGTCAATCTGACCAACATAAAAATATTTATGAGTCGTAAGCAATTTTGTTATGTTTTTAGCAATAGAAATCCCTATTCTGCCTTGATCTTCTTTACTCGTGTATTTGGAGTTAGATCAGCATAGTAATTGATATAGGGATTTCTAAGATCACAACAAACAAACTGTCTATCGTTATACAACTCGTAACAAATCATATATAGAGAGGGTCAGAAACAGCATCCAAGATGCACATAACAGATGTGAACAGAATTTGACTAGAATCAGTGAATCGTATTCTTAAGTGAACATAGATATATTGACAAAAATAATTATTTCTAAAGAGTAAACTTTAAAAAACTCACTTTTGTTCCAACCATCTATAATCAGTAGAAGCACGGAATATCAGACTTTCATTTGAACTCCTCTTCTTATTAACAATCCCAGATGTAGTGCTGTTACTATTAGTATTATTATTATTATTAATAGAAGCTGATAAACAATTGGGATCAATTTCACGAAGTGATCGCATATAAATTGTATTTGCACGAGCACAAATAGAACGAGGTGCTATAACAGCACCAGGTGTAACAATATGCCGTAAATCGATTCTACCCAATGGTGGATGTAAATGTTTGGTATTAACTGCATTGTTAGAATGTGCTCGTTGTTCATCTTCTGGATATCGCCAAAAATGTAGATAATCAGCTCGTAGCTGACACCAATACCTTTGCCATACACCCATTCCACCAATCTCTTCGAAAACAGTCTATAACGTAAAGTATTATTTTTTTAAAACTACTTTTTGCAACCTACCATAAAACCACGAGCTAATACTCTTGCTTCCAAACTAACAAAAGCATCAACAAGACCAGCAGTTCCAGCTAATGGAGTAGAACGAGGTAAATGTAATAAACGTAGAGGTAAACGATTAGAATTCAATTCAGTTTTATTGATAGAAACACTTGAACAAGAAGTAGAATTGGGATGAGATTTATCATGCATTGAAGGATAAACGTAACCAACCAATAGGTCATCATGATAAAGAATTTCAACAGTGGAAAGTAGGGAGAAAGCTAACAAAAAAGAAAAAATCGGAAGAATATCTTAAATAGAACTGGTTATTTTATATTATACATCGGAAAATAATGATGACAATACATTGCGAAATTAAATGAGAATTAAAACGTTAAACTGTAGCAGTGGTATTTCACAACAGAACAACGATCGCCAACCTTCAAATTTCGTAATGAAGCATTCTGACTGTTATAATAATCATAGGAGTGTATTGGTAAATTAACTATGTATTCCTTATAAAAACCAGTATCTACTACTGGCCTTATGACAAGCATGATCCCAGCAAACGAATGAATTGAAATATTTAAAGATCCAACATTAACAACTTTTGACCACCTGTGATGTAAAAACAGTCCAGTGTAACTGGTGATGAGTATCTTACTCAAAATATAGTTGAACTCCATTGGTGTCATGTGTTGTAACAATCGACTGCGAGGCTAAGTACCATGATTATTATTATCATTATTTAAACAGCTGGCTTATGGAAACTTTAAGTCACCTGGAGAACCAGGGAGCACTGAAAAGTTGTTTCGAGTCTATTTGGGATTGACAATTGGGCACCAATGACTCGAAAACAAGACAAAAACCTAGAACCTTAATCTACTGTGGTAAAACACTTTTGGACTACAACTGCGTTGTGGAAATCCAATGATATACATTTTTGATTTCAGTTAGTTTGTGATATCTAATACGAACGAAATGGAACTGTAAAAATGATGAAAAGAAAACGGTGTTCTGAACCACATTTGGTTAAAACAACTATCCTCCCAAAATGGGTAAGGTATGTCAAATTTCGCACCAATCAGAAGCAAAAAACAAGAACCAAATCTAAACACGTCGTTATGTTTGCAGGTTATTATCAGAACAAATTAAACAACAATGGAATGAGTTATGAATAAATACTGTCAGCTGATTTTTTTTCATTCTTATTCATTATTATTAGTAGTAGTAGTATTGGTATTACATTATGTCATCCGAAAGTGGTTTAAAAAAATATTGTGCAGATATAGAAATAATACATTTTTAAATAATTCAACGAATTATAAAACCAAGTAGTATAACTTTGTGTACTCGGATGTTGTTGTATCATCATCACAAGAACAATTAAAGTATTGGGTTTTCCAGTTGGCCTAAGGCGAATTCAAACTACGAACGACTAAGGATTCTTTAAATACGATGCAAGGTATAGGAACTCGAACTGATCAGAAATCTGTCATATAACAATTCAACGTTAATACTCCACATGCTAATACAGATACAGAAGATTCTCAGGATAATTTTATATTCTGTAAAGAAGCCAAACTGAAAAAAGAACAGCTGTTTTTATGGTATCAACCATTGACCTTGCGGTACATAATAGTAGCAGATCAAAAGCGATGACAAACAATCATGTAACAGTAAATGAGATTTCAGAAATACGAACTATGAAAATGTCACTGAAGTTATTCTTTAAAGAACTAACATATAGTAACAAAATCAACTAGATAACCATGATTTCCCTCCTATTAACAGATATGAACAGTGTCCATAATAATGCATACATTATAAGCCAATGAATACGAAGTAACTCGAAACCTTAATCCACAGTTGTTTGCTTAAATCCCTGTATCTACCGAAGAGCACTTTTTAAAATATTAAACTGAAGTTATTGATAGGTGTGAAAAAATCAATAACAGCTGTGTTGTTTACAGGATATTCTCTTAAAATGTTAACTGTTCTATCAACAACAAATAACCTAGAAAATACAAATGACTTTAGGAACTCTCCTTGTATAAGAAAACTGATATGAAGAGATAAAGAAAGATGATATTATTTAGGTTCATATTTTTTGAATCAATTCACGAAAAACTTCTGCCAGGGAGACTAATGTGAACTTTGTTTAATGTGATGCTTTAAGATTAATATTTTTGGAATCAAGTCAGTACAAATTGTACTCAATATGAAAAGAGAATGAACTTTTACTCGGTGTGACAAGTACATTTCCTGTATTAATTTAGGTGAACTATATTCAATGTATTTTTTTACAGTAACTCTATGTAATTCCTTTCTATTGTGTGTAAAAATGGTAGTATTCCGGTCTAATGACAATGTGATTCAAAGAGTTCTTTGGGAATGTGTTTTTTAGAGAGTGAATAAATCTTTATTGCATTAGCCTTGTGTTCTTACTTTGTGCTGTGAGAATCGCAGTGGTTCTTGAGGCAATATATTAGATATGATAAAATGCGTGTCTAGTGACAAGGTAACAATTATTATTAATTATTATTATTATTATTATTATTATAACGACGGTAATAATAGTGATGATAATGATAATAATAAATATTATAATAATAATAATAGTGATAATAATAATAATATGTGCAGATTGTTATCTCTGACTGAATCCGTCAAGGAAACCCTGCTTAGTAAAAAAAAAAAACAAAGTTCCTCTACTAATTAAACTTCCGAAATGAATGTACATGAAATAGGTCGCCAAGATAGTATGATGATGTAGGTCCATTTTCGTGCGCGTGACACCATAAGATCGGCATTAGTGAAAGTTAAAGATAGGTTCCCAAAAGAAGAACAAAAAATTATTGTCTATGAGATCAACTGTCATGATTGTAATTCAGCTTATATCGGAAAAACATCCGGACAATTGAATGTAAAGTTGAAGGAACACAAACAGTTTTAGAAAAATGTTACCAAATCCTCGGTTGACCTAAAGAAACTTGAGAATAAGTTTGCGATAGCGTTACATGCGTTAGAAACAGGACATAAGATTAATTTTGAAGGGAACAAAATAGTTCAGAAAGGTTTTAACACTCATAAAGAAAGATTGACAACAAAAGCGCTGTATATATGAGCGAACAAGAACAGTCTGAACTGAAAGGATGTTATTCAACTAGCGACTACTTGGTAAATATTCGCTGACAAGTAATTGAACCCTTTATTTATTCAACCTCACATGCATCGTTATTTTGACTGAAATTAATGTGAGATATTTTAAGCAATACAATTATTTATTTGATGATTCTCATTTTTACTTGCACATCGGTTATTCAGAAGCAATTTTTGCAACCTTAAACTTGTACTTATATTTTACCTTCATATAAAAACATATTAATACCGAATATCATTCAGTAATAACTCAATGTTACACATACATACATACACAGACACACAACTTGTTCAGTCATTTATTTTCACATGATTCCCGTGTAACTGGCTCATCCAGTCGCCGCCTGTCGGGTTTCGGAAAGCGACTGGCTCTCAGTTTATTGCCCCCAAATGCCCTGGTACGGCCGAGAGTGAGGAGAGTCCGATCTTCCTCTCCAAATGCTCTCACATGGTCACATGCGTACAACCGCTTCCAGCGAAGTCCTACTCACTGCCTTCTCGACAAGGGGGTGTTGCTTACGAAATTGAGAGGACGAAAAGCGAAACTCTGGCGCTTTAACCGGGTTGGTGGACATGGAGAGTTCACCTAGGGGAGTTGGAAAACCCTCATTTCAAACCAATCGTGTAAATGGGCTTCAGTATCCTGAGGGAACGAATGACGTATGAACCAATCATTGGTCACCGGATACCATGGGACTGCATCTCCTTACGATGCTCCACTGTCTTGTGGATCAGACCTTCAGGTCGAAGGCTCGGGGAGTGGCCCCCTAAGAAAACCGCCTGCTTCGGTTTGGGCACCCAAGCAGTATCACAGCCCTCACACAAATCAAATGAGATTTGTGTGGCGCATATGTACCTAGTGCCCCCTTGTACCAGTTATTTATGTGTTTAAATAAATAATTAAATAAATACTAAAATCAACACCCAAATATTATTGGATTAACACAGTATAGATTTGATCTGATTTGATTGTTAAAAAGTCATATACTTCTTCAATGATTTTGATGATTACTCTGAAGAATTCCAAACAAGTTTGCTGGACGAAACTTTGAAATCATTCAAATTTCAATCTCTGAGATTATTTCAAATATAATTATGATGATTTATCTAAATATTTTGGAAAATTATCACAACTAATAGTAAACAATAATATTGGAACATATTAAAAAAAAGGAAATTCTCAGTAAACTCAAGAGGAAATTATCATATTACAAAGTTATTACATTTAACTGTGTGTTTTTTCGCAACAATCAATTTACATATAATAAAATGAAAAGTTTATTTCTATCAACAACAACGACAAAAAAACTAACCAGCAATTTTATCACGTCCAATATTGTTTCCATGATCAATATCATAAGTTTTATATGTGGTGTAGTTTTAAAGTAACTTGACGGTAGACAATGAGTTAAAATATGACTTGCTGATTCACAAGGAGTTAATTCAATATTGGAAGTATGACCATATCGTGATTTCTTATGATTTGATGAAGTAACAGGTGATGTTGAATTCTTTAAATGTAATAATTTATTCTGTGGAGTTTTAAAACTATTCAAACTATCATTATCATTACTAATATCATCGCCATAAACTAATGATGTTCCAAGTATACGAGGTGAACCATATGCACAATTATTCATAGGTCTATCTGTTCCAGTACGCATACAGTAAATTTCTAATTGAAATACAAAATCTGGTCTAACTGGTACAATCTGTAAAGAAAGGATGATAATGAAAGGAACAATGAGAACTGAACAAATGATTTTGCACAAAGATAATAATAAAATATAAATGTAATTTACGCGGAATTCATATTATGCATATATCGAGGATTCACTAAGTTTCAAGTGGAAAAGTTTAAGAAGCGAGGAGTTTGATTTCGAATGATTTAAAAGAGCTAATAAATATGTTTAGTTTTTGTTTCATACCTCCGTCGTATATAACACGGTACACTGAAACTGCTCTGCACTGTTCATTAGTTATATTAGTTTCGACAAGCCAATTACCAATAGGGTTTCAGCTTGAATGACATATCATTAATAGCACCCTAAAATGTATTCGCAACTTCTTAACCAATAATAAGTATGATATGATACTGTCTATTCTCTATTTGTAAGAAATAGGTTTTATAACTATATTTCAGCCGTTTCATTACATTTCAGTTATTTAATCCACAGTATTTGATGGAGCATCATGGAAACATTAAGTAGCCAATGATGACATTTGAAGTCAATTTTAATTAAACATGTTGTTTAACAGCACAGAAACTATGTACTGACCTCTAGCTTTGCCGGCAAATCTACATAAGGAGCAGGTCGGTACATTCCCACAGGTAAGTCGCTCACATGCATTAAGGTAACTAGTTCACTATGATACAACCGACCTTCACCACGGCATCTAAATACAAATATAAACGAAGCGTTAAAATACTTGTAGTAAATGCATTGAATAATTACAACTAATTCTTAATTAATTATCAGAAAATACAGAAGAAATATTGCAAATAGGTTTTAAATGTCATATTATTTGTGACAATTAGAGATACAATATACTGTTACTTAGACTAGTAGACACATGGTAACTTGGCTGACAGAATTCAGTCATTACTAAAAGAACAAAACAAACATACTGATTACTATTCACTGGTTAATTAATTTATATATTTTAGCCATACAGTCATGACCCGAATAACGTAATGGTAACGTCACAGATGGTGAAACTAGGTAGGTCGGATTCGAACCCACCAACAAGCATCAGTTCCATCAAAATCATAGGTAAACCTTGCTGACGAGTGTCGGCGAGCATAAAACCTAGGTTTAGGGTTTATTGCAAACACTGCCTACAACCATCTAACAGAGGTAAAATAATTACCCTTATCAGAATAGGGGTATTTGTGGAGATAGTGGAATTTTCACAGTTTATATCACAAACTGATCTTAGTTAGACCAACAGTGAAAACCTGGAAGCATTGGATGGTTGTTTCGTCCCAGAAGGAGACATAGCAGTGATTGTCATACGAGATAGACAAATACTAAACATTGTGTAACCTATATCCCAAGATGTGTTACATACTACCCGATTCACGTTAGAACTACAAATAAATACAATTAAGATGCTACACACTACTAACGAAGATAATAATAATAATAAACAATGAACGGATCTTACTTTATAACACCAATTAAATGATAACATGTCGGTTGGCCTAATTGATTGTCAGGACGAGATTTTAAAGTAGGAACATTCCAACCACCAGCTTCTCGTCCAGTACCAACAACAACATAGCCACCTCCACTTGTAGGATCATTCGGTATGTTAGATGTTTTAAGAGATAAACGAATAGCGTTTAGTTTCATACGAGCACGTATAGGATCACCACGTGTAGGTGGTACAAGAACTGGAGAGCCTCTATGCAATAATGCAAGTTCTTCCATTAATACTTGACGACGCTGACCTATAAGTAAATAGATAGGAAATAATGTTGAATTTATGATGTTTAATCTAACCATTCATCAGATACTTGGATATTAATTAAATGATACCACCTAGTTGCAAAAACTGAAGTGAAGCGGTGTTCGAACATGGAAATTACTAGCTAACATATAGTATATAAAAAGCATTTATAAAAATCTTACAAGCTATCAGCATCGTTCTGCTAGCTTCTACATGAACTCGAGAACCTGGACCCAATTCACGTATTCTATCAAAGTCTTCAGGACTTTTACGAAAAGGAATACTGACACACTGTTGTAGTGCTGCACTGGCCTGTAAAATAACTACACGTTCTGCTTGTATCAATTTTGGTAAGTCATTCAATCTTCGAATACGTCGTTCAGCCTCGGATAGTGGTAGAACTGGAGATATACGATTATTAACTAAGAAAAAAAGAAAATGTTTTAGAAATAACGCTACCATAGAGATATGTTGAAAATACAACGAAACCATCTTACTAAAATACATTAAACGAAGTCAATCAGTTGGCCATACGTAATGAAAAAACGGGCACATGTGTGTGTTAGTTGAAGTTTTGAGATGAAATTGTAAAAACGAATCAAATAGTAGAGGTAATAACAGTGCTAATGGTAATAGGAAAGATTAGGTAACGAAGATACGGTTCGAAAAAAGGATTAGTGGAATAAATAAACAATTTATGAATCCGTTTGGAAACTTGAGATCTAAGAGAAGACAAAAATGGATGTGCCTGAATCATTGCAAAGGACTTCGAACCATGTTACCTAAAGTCTCTAACCATTGGTTACGATAGTCAAATACACCGAAATCAAGTAATCTACACCTATTAACATGGATAGGTCCAACAGTCAATGGATTTCAAAGAGAGCAAAAACAAAAATTGGTGGTCAATGTATTCATTGACTGATGCCATATTTTAATTTGGCCTCCCTGATTTCCAATTTACTCCTACACTACCCATCATTCTATATCGAAGTAGGTTGTGGTGAATAAGAATATGTAATAAATGTTCTGACCATCTCAGTTGATATAAATTCACTACCTCATCAATCGACTTATCATCCGTACCTGACACTGCATCTTACCTCAGAATTGATAACTCGATGGTTACAATATATACGAGCAATGTTTTGAGCGCATCTATCAAACAAAGTTTGGAAAAATGAAGGAAATAAGATAACTATTTGATGTTGAGTAAAATATATTCGGGTGCTTGTGAAGTGTCTGAGCCGTAAACACCTTCTATATCAGGATTCCAAGATATTCCTTAATTACACAAGAGTATCTTTTATTAACCACCAAGAGATTAATTTTCTTACTTCTCCAATTATTTTATTTTATTTTGAAATAGTTGACCATTTGAAATTAATTTTCGGAGAAATTTTAGTAAGACAATGGAGGTATTTTACGAAAACCAATTTCATTTACCATGTCTGGTTGCTCAGTTCTATTAATATCTGAAAAAATGTTGAGGTGGTGTCCACTGAACAAATAATTCGTAAGATAACAGTTCGAAGATTTTTCAAAAAAAAAGTAACTGGATGCCAACTATTATGATAAGCAGTCCTCAAACTATCGTTATATAATGTCATTTCAGAGAATCCATTATTACTGAATTATATTTTACAATAACATCAACTACCATATATCTTTACGATTCAATAACTAGATATGACTGAGCAACACAGTTAGTGTAATATACTCGGTCTGACAGCTTGGATCGATGCACATATGTACTACGTACTACATTAGCTGTGACAAGTCGACAGAACTGTTGAATATCAGAGGCTACCAAAACCCACCCATCTGTCCTCGGTCATTCCCTATATATATAGCAGAACGATGAGTTGAATCAAAAAGCCGATGATGACCACTGATGACCAACATTGACTCGATCCCAATAGGGCAGAGTATATAATAGTATACGTTAAGACTACTCACTTTATATAAAACTAACGACACCATTAATTCCACCAAACTAATTAATAATAACCTGTATGTCATACAAAAACCTTAACTGAAAAACAGTTAAATTCTGAACTCCATGCAAAAGTAGTGCACGTCCAATCTCACATTTATGCTTAGTCTTAACACTCATCCTAGTCTTTTTTCCTTTGTTCATTTTATCCAGCATTCAGTTGCTATTACCACACCATCTAAATTGTCAGTACCACTTCCAATTTTTTCCATCTCTAGCAACTGGTCTAATTATCTCTCTCATATTTGTCTGAACCGTAAAAATAATGAAAGCTTAATGATCGGAAGGAATAAAAATAAATATGAAATATTGTAAGAGTGTAATAATAACTGATTGCGGATTAAGAAACAATTAGGACACAGTAAAAAGAATATAATAAAGAACGAAACCGAAATATACTGAAAAGGATGTTAGGGCCACAGAAGAATGAGAGAGACTGAACGTATTGTTTTTGCATGCAAGGTTCAGGCTTGAATAGGTGAACTGCCAATGTCTCAACAGTTCACACGTTTTTGATTCATTCATTTGACTATTTAAATAAATTAGAATGACGATTCAGGTGGAATAACGTGACCAGAGTTAATGAGATGCTCCTGTATTGGGTTGTACCGACCGTTTTGTATTCTCCGTTTAAAATCCGAGCCAAGTAATGCTCTGAGATGTGTTCATTTTTTGAGTGACTAATGTAACCTGGACCTGCAAGAGCAAATAAACTTATGGATGAAATCTCTCTTGTTCTTCTGTGGCCGTAATACACCTGCCAGTATATTTTCTGTGTTTTTATCATAGTATCTCACATTTTAATCCGAAATAAAAAGATCTTTATTTAAAAAAAGAATAAACTACTTATTAGTGTATGGAGGTGTGGAAATTGTCGAGTTTTCATAGTTTTAATCACAAACTAATCAAAGCCAAACTACCACTGAAAACCTAGAAGCACTGGACAGTCGTTTCGTTTTAGTAAATGACTTATTAGCTGTATTCGATTCCCAGATGAGGGGGTCGTGAATGCTCACTGCTGAGTCCCCAAATGGGACCAAACACGTTCAATCCTTACGGGTTTCCGATGGTGGTTTTGATAAGATCAATTCGTGATTTAAACTATGAAAATAAACTACTTAGTTAAAAAGCTTAGTAATTGGAAGAAACAAACAAGTATAAAACACGAGTAAAATTATATCACAACTCACTAATAAATCGCTATCATCTTTTGAAAAATATGGTTGATGATAACGATGATCAGGATGATTCTCTTTATTATTACTTTGATCTTGTGAAGATAAACTGGATAATTCATTATTTAATTCATCACTTGGAATTATAGTATCCAAAAAATCAGACAACTCAGAATCACCAACGCCTGAAAAACATGGAAACAGATTGTTGAGAAAATATGCGCTCTGCTCCTTTATCATCATCTATTTTACTTAGATTTGTGTTCACAAGTTGTATTGTATACAAGGCCTATATTTATTTCCCATCTTATTTGTCACGCCGTACCTCTCTTATTTGTGCGGCGTTACCAGCCCTGAGGTTAATCAAGCCTCACTAAGTAATCACGTCAAGTCTAAATTTCAACCAAGGGATCAAACTTTTAATACGGTAATTAACAATTCTATCAACTCATAAGATATTTTTAACCACAAAAGTGAGATTGAAATGGCATGAGAATGATGAAGTCAAATTCATCAATTATTAGACTATGTAGACGGTTGAATAATACGATTAACAATGAGTTCAGACCAAAGAAAAAAGTGACCTCAAAATTATCAAATTATGCTGCACAAGCATTTGACTATTTGTAAACTAAACTAAATAAATGACTAGATAACTATGCAGTTTCTAAAACTAGACTGAGGCCTAGTAGGTGCAGTGGAGTTCAAAATACATCGTGACTTATTTGTCAGAAATCAACGGCTTAAATCACTAAACGTCAGATTGATTACGGGCTCCAATAAATTTTGCTCTCCGTGATCTAAGCACACAGACAATATTGTCAGTATTTATACAAAAACTTTTAGAAAATGACATCAATTATGATGTATCAGCACAATAATGATTTGCTTACTTTCGGAATCCATTTTTTGTGTTATTTTATCCCCATGTTTTTCTCGTTCTGGTAAATATTCATATTGACTGGAAAACTCTGAAGATGTTGGACAATCTTCATCATCATCATAGTTGAAGTCAGTTTCACTTTCATCTGTAATATCAGAAGTGGTCCTTTGAAATGTGACTGATTTTTGTCTCGGAATAATTTGATGGAAGGTATCAACTGAGCTTTCCGAAAATGATGATCGACGCTTAACACCAATTTTAGGACGTGAATAATAGGGATGTGCAATGGCTGTCACAAAATGAAATAAAGTGGGATTTTAGAGCCTTATTAGTGAGAAAGTTTAACTGATAGATGGATAAGAATCATCTGGGATCAGACAAATATAGCATATAATCTTATACAAATGAACGATTCAAGTTTCCTGACTTTACATCAATACAAAAGGAGATTGAGTAGTCAAGAACGATTAACTCCGATAGTAGTGGTAAACAGAATACTAAACAATGTTTATGAACTAGAAAACGATGAAGGATGAATGGGACTGAATTATTGTCATCTATATCCTTTAGCATTGGCGATTACTAGTTTTCTTAACCCTGAGAACCTCACTCTGATGGACCATACTTCGCATATGGCTCTGAATAATAGAAAATAACTTAGTAGTATAATTCCACATCACGATGTGATTATGTTTAACCTTTGTAAAACCGTTTGTAGTAGAGAGCCCATTTAGGTAATAAGTCGAGCAAATGATTCCTAGAAATAAGTTCACTTATCAGCTCGCTGAGCTAAGACCGTGTGTAATACCTGTTCTTTGAAGCATAATTTCTGCAACGGTTTCTAAACTGAGATTAAAGAAGCTACCTATATTTTCTCCTCCTGCTTTGAATTTGCTTAACCTCGTCCGCCGGTTTGCCTTGTAATGCAAATACTGGAATTGATCTCTTCTACGTTCTACTTTATGTGTGAAACGTGATCTTTAAAGATAGATATTCGTAGGTTATTAATACTCGATTATAAATGCGTTCAAATTATTGCCCGTATATGTTGGGACCACCCAGTTGGTAATTTTGAGACTAGATGGAAGATACCGGGTAAAGATGGCAAATCGATTGATGAAATAATAAATCTTTATCAACTGGGATGGTTACAACATGTATTACATGTGCCCATCCACTGCCTACCTTATTATTATTATTATTATTATTATTAATGGCTTTATTGATGGGCGATGATGACGGGTAGCCACATAATTCAAAGTGAAGTAGAGTCTAAGCTTGTGTTGAATTGATTGAAAGTGTGTGTAATTTAGTAAGCGACAACTTTACGTTAGCTTCTAATTCTATAATCTTATCATATTATTTCTCGAAATTAATAGGGAAAACGTTAGTTGATAATTATAATAAAACTGTTACTTATACTTGTAATAATTATCAGTTTTAGGTAATATACTGATAAATGAGGCCTATTCACTAATAAAGCAAATAGCAAACAGTGATCATCTTATATGAGATCTAGTAAATAGCCACACGTGGATTTTATCTGTGTACAATAACCATGGCCTTTAAACAGACGTTTGAAAGTTTAGTAGAACATCATTCGTAATTCGAATCAGGATTCAAGCAAAGACCTCAATAGGAGAGACAAATGATGTGAAGTTGAAATTTTCAACACAACGAAAGACCGTTTTGATTCTATAAATAAAATTAATAAGGAAAAGTGGGAGATACTTGGTCGCAACAAGGGCTATTATGTCTAATGAAAGTATGAGGAAGATAAATAAGTTATGAAGATTGATTTACACTTTTTAAGTTACTATTCCGAATTGGACCTAATTGCTACAGCCTGAACGAATCTCGCTGATTTACTATGTTCACGTTTATGCAGTAGACTTTGAGTTAAACCATTTGTGAAGACTAGTGGAACTACCCGCATTTTAAAACAGAAAGGGGTGGATTGGGGTTCGTACCTGTGATATACCAGTTAGAAGTCAAATACTTAAACTCCTAAGCCACAACCCCACAGAAACTGATCACAACTCTGTGTATAGACGTGTACATAACTTCAGTTATATCATTACATAACAGTTGGATAATCCAACAAATTCATTTGAACAGAAACAACGATTTGATCTAAACATGATTTTATCAATAAAAAAAATTTGAAATTACTTGGAGTTGTTGATACAGTTGTTTGCATAATTTCTTCCAACTTTGTTTGATTTATGTTCGTTGAATTGACATTATGAATATTTGGAGATTGTGTATTACTGATGAAAGTGTTGCTGTTTGAAGAATCAGCTTCACTAAGTCCCATATCCTAATATCAATGAATAACACAGAAATACGATAGAATATTGCATGAAACAAAATTAATTTAATTTATTTTATATTTCACATTATTCAATCCAGAAGATCGTTATATTCGCAATATTCGATTACTTAAAAACGGAAAATACACATTAAATATATTTTTGTTCCGTAAAATCGTACAATAAAGTAATTCATTTACCAAACACATATTTATGAACTTGGCTTTGAGTCACATCATTTGTGTGATACTACTTGACAATTCAGATTAAAGTATGTGAATTGAAGCAACAACTTGAGTTTATTAAATTCAACCAAGTATATATGTGAATAACTCTTTAGTTGAATCCTTATCTAAAAGGAAGTTTGTTAAATACCTATCAGTAGTTATATATCTTTTATTGGGATATTTGCCCACAAAAAATGGTAGAATATACTACAAAAAGTAATTGATTTAGGAATGACTGTACCAATATGTCAAGTAATTCCCGCAATTTACAAAGTCCGGCTAAAATTTATGGAAATGATGAAGTTTGGACTAGAAATGTAGTATGAATGGATTTTTTTCTCAACATCTTATGATTCTTCACTCATTTTCCTTCATCAAATCATTCATGTTATTTGAGTAGCCCACCGCTTTTGTCGATTTCCTCTTTGTCCACCATTGTGAAGTGTATCAATCCTGTTGAACTGTTTACATCTGCTTATTGTAAAAGAGTGAAAGCACAAAGACTAGTTGGAAGTACTTAATAGGTTGTTAATCACAAACCCAGTCCTACCCAAAATAAAAACGTAAACATAGAAATGCGTCACAAAGTAACTGACAACGTGAATAAAGCGATCTTACATATACCTTTGGCGGACTGGGATGCGGGACAGTAGCATCATCACACATTACAACTTCCGTTAAAACAGGCTGACAGTTGTCGCATGGAGTACTGCGGGGCGAAGTAACCAGTGGATTCTCAATTGCCGAAATATTTGGGGGTGATGGAGGGGGTGGTAACAAGAAATCATCCTCCTGTAAAAGAGAAAGCGCTGGAGTTGTTATTGTGGAGACAAATCAAAATGAAAAATGTTGCCAAGTATATAGGAGCAACAGTCCTTTTTAATACTTATAATAACTTCTCTCAAAATTCGTACATTTTTCTTATCAATAAAAAAGCAAAACTATTGACTATCATCAGAACTATCGGTTCACATACTTCACCTTTGAGGCGCAGACAAATCTCGGCTTGATAAAACCAAGCGAGTCCTATTTATGTGTTCATGGAGAACAACGCACTATTGCTGTCAAACTAAGGAGGTAGATAAAACGGTAGATTCCCTCAATTATTTTGATCCATACCGTTAAACTAGACAATGATAAAGATCAAACCTAAAATGCCACTTCGTGTTTTAAAATGGGATGAACGGACCAGATTTAAACATTAGTACGCTCCCGATCAATGTGTTTGAACTTTATTTTGCCACCATGTTCGACAAGTAAAACTACATCTCCATAATCAAAGTCAATGAGAAATACATTAAATAAGTTCCTGAGGAGTTGGGCATAGTGTTACTCGTAGAAGTACAAACATGACGAGTTTGAATCGAAATGGGGAAGGTAAACAACTTTAACAAACACCATTTGGAGAAAGTGAGCAATGTGTATGCTAACAATAAATTAATTTTACTGTTTTAAAATGTAAAAATTTCAGAAGTCCGTTTTAAATTATGCGTCAATTTACAAAGAATATGCAGTAAATGGATCAGATTTGTATCGAAGTGTTGAATGCGAAGCTACATATCATTAATTTAAAATACGAATTGTGCTCACAAACCTGTCTTGAAACAAAACTGGATGAAACTTTTTCCGGTTCTAAATCATGAGGGTCTGCAGAAGATACTGAACCTAAATTAGGAGTTGGTATAACTGGTCGACGGGATCGGCGTAATTCAGCCAGCTCTCGCATTCGCTCAAGCCTTTCTCTCTCAGCATGACTTAAACTTCCCCTGGGGACGTCAGCCTTGGTACAAGTGACAGAAGTAAGGACTTTTTCTCTAATACCCTGACCTGATTGAATTTTGGGTGCCACAGATTGTTGAATTAATGAAGGCTAGAAGAATAAGTAAGAAAAAAAATCAATTAGAAAACACCGTAATTCGTATAGAAACGTTTGATGGATGTTGGCTATTTCAGTGAACAAATTCATAGAAGAAATAGGACAAACCAAAGGTCTTGAAGAATCTGCTCTGTGTACTTTTGAACAAGCAACTTTGGTGGAGTTTTGTTCTCTGAGCTGGATGGTTTGGTCGTGGAGCTTTCATCGTCCTTCTGAACGACATCATCAGCACAAACTTCAAATTTGAAGTTTGTGCTGATGATGTCGTTCAGAAGGACGATGAAAGCTCCACGACCAAACCATCCAGCTCAGAGAACAAAACTCCACCAAAATTATCCACCTGAGCTACAAATCTTCTCCACCATCTCAGAACAAGTAACTGTTACACACTAACCACTTCGCATAATACAGGAAAAAACTTGCAAAAACTGGCGACCATAGGTGGGTCCACAATAGTAAGTATTACTAAGGCAATTTATAAAAATAAATTGATAGATGACGCCCAAGCAAAGGGATGAACGCTCTAAAAGTTACAAATTGACCAGTGGTCTAATGATTAACAGGTTCAGCCTTCAGTCACTGGATCGTGAACTTTGAACCCTTTCAAAATGTCTCAACTGGACAACCAATAGTTTTGTGGAGTGATAACAGGTCTTAACACGACAATCACTAGCCTTGTCCTAACCTAATATATGTGAAGTACAATACCTCGGTGTGTAACATTTTAGAATCAGCTTTTATTAATGATTATACCGTGAAGCTTTAGTGGAACAGTAAGCTGCTTACACTGAAGTGTAGTGGTAGCTTGATCATCACAACTATTCTAAATATTAGATTACAAGTTTGACCACCCGAGAAGTATAGTCGTCCCTTGCACAAAACATTTGATCCAGAGTCAAATGCGCACTTGCATACTACCCGGTAGTCAGCAGAATAGCGTGGACGGTCGTCCAAGTTTACGACTCAAAAGTTAGAGGCTAGACCACCAAACCCCTGAGCTTCAAAGATAGCCATGAAAGAAACAGATCAATACTACGCAAACAAAACACATGAGGATATTCATGCCTACACGCCAATTGCCCCCAAATGCTTTGGTATGGCCAAAGGTGGGGAGAGTTCACTCTCCTTCACGAAATGCTCCCACATGACCACGAGTATACAACCACTTCCATGGAAGTCCTACTCACCACCTTCCCGCGCCATTACTGTTGTTTAAGAAATTGAGAGGACGAAAAGCGAACGTCCAGCGCTTCAACCGAGTAAGTGGACCCTCCGTGTCCACCTAGGGGAGTTGGAAAACCTAATTGGGAACGAATAGTGCACATGGGCCCCAATATCCTGTAGGAACAAATGACGTATGAACCAAATATTGGTCGCCTGCTACCATGAGACTGCACCTCCTGATGTTGTTCCACTGCTTTTTGGATCAGACCTTTAGGTCGAAGGCTCTGGGTGTGGCCTCCTAAAAAAACCACCTGCTTCAGTCTGGGCACCCGTGTAGTATCACAGCCTACACACAAATCAAGTGAAATGACAATTACTACTGGAAACACTATTCTTGCTTCAACTAAAATTCAGACAATTCTCATCCACTTTTTTATATACGTCATTTATCTATTCTCTTCTACTTTCACTTTGTATATCCTTATTTTACAACTTATACAGCAGCTCGCCTATGGTGAAAACCATGTTATATCTAGACGATCTCAAGTCGCTGATTGGTCGAAAGTTGAATGCTATCACCGAATACGAATACTGAAACAGTCTTTCTGAAACCACGTATGACATTCAAACTGGCTTCCTTCGACGTTCGCATACTAATGCAGATCGGACAACAGATAGGTTCGGCTATACATTTAAGTAAACTTAATATCTGCGCCTGTTGTCTATCCGGGATCCGTACTCAAGATTAGTGAATAATTACCAATTCGTTCCCCATCTGTCGCTTTGAAAAGCTTGTTTCACCCACGTTTATCCGGGAACTAAGCGCTAAAGCTGAGGCAGCACTGGTCGATTGGATCCCCAATAACAGTCGGTTATGTACTTTTAGGTTGGAAAGTTCAAGCAAAGTGAGAAATCGGTGTCCGAGACGATGTCTTCTAGTCATCTCCGCTTATGTCCCCGCAGATTGCAGCCCGGATGTGGTCAACGATGATTTTTACCACCAATAAACTGTTCTTTTTTTACAGAAAGCGCGTTCAACAGATATTGCGATACTAGTCGGAGACTTGAATGTTCAGGTCGGGCGTCTAGACACAGAGGGGTCGTTTAGGTGACCGATGAGGACTTGTTGGTGGCAGATCAGGTAACAGGTACCGTCTGCTGAAAACCAGAACCTGTTTCTGGTTAGCACTAACTACAAGCACAGTCATCGCCGATGTGACACCTGGCGTCCTCTCTCTGCATCTCTAGCCTGGACTCATTGATCACATCATTACCTGGGTAGTACTCTGTTGATTACTACTAGAAAGAATTCTTTCAGTTAATGAAGTTACGTCCATTTTTTGCTAAGAAAGTAATAGAAGGTTACAGCACGATCGCCACTAGCTTCTATTCTGAGCCATATCTAATAACGTTTCTAGCCACTGTGTAGCACCATCTCTCGGACCCCAGCCAGGGAGTCGTGAAGGACCAACAGAAGACATTCCTGCACACTATTCTTTCAAAACACGACACCATATCATACACTGACCACCTCCGCTTTTTCTGACCAGTCCCAGCATTAACAAATAATCCACGACGTGAGATTCTCTGAGACGACATTCGTAAAACATGTTCAAGCCACCGAAGTCGCTGTGCCCAAAGACACGATGCCAAACCTTTGCATTACTAACATGGTGTTGCCACTGGATATCAGCAATCCTTCGGAAACGATGATCAAGCACAGAGAGTTATTTAACATCCTGAACTCGGGGAAACTATGTTTCACAAGCATTGAGTAGAACTGCTGCCACCGACGCGTTGTAGATCCGACCTTTTACAGCGCTTCGATAGTTGGACTTCATTGAGGGCTTCCGCCTCCTTTGGTGGATCAGTCGTCACAGGCTGTGGAGGGCAGGACAATCTAATCGATATTGCTGTAGTAGCAAACCAGTTGAACTACTACTCGAAAAACTCTGCCCATCGTCCTAGACGCCGATAGGTGTTAGTGATTGGCATCCCGTCATCCTCACAGATTGTTTCACTCAAACCAGACTTCTTGGTGCCAGTGGCTCGGGTGAGTTGAAAGAGCCGGTAGTTACCAGAAGCAGCTGCTGCTTCCAACTCATTAGCACGCTTCGACCATTAGGCTTCTCGGTCTTCACGCAATTTCACTACGTAACAGTCTTCGTTTGTGGTCAAACTCACGGCCACTCGAGTAGACCGACGGGCTTCAGTGAGTTGTAAGTAACCAGAAGAAACCTAGTGCTTATAAGTGAGTCAGTCAGTCAGTAACAACGTAGAACTTCGTACGTACGTACATCAGTTCGAGTTGCCACACCACATTAGCACAGAGATGCACTTGTCGATTCAAATCCCGTCGTGGTAGAGGTAATAAGAGTATAAGCAGTAATCGGGAAGATTAGGGTTTGGAGATGTTATTTAAAGAGTATAATCCAGTGAAAGAAATTTGGAAAGAGGAAAAAAAGGGACATGAAGAATTCAGAAGATTAGAATTTGGGAGAACACAGAGAGTGGATGCACCTGCGCCATTGCAAACGATTTTGAGCCATGTCATTCAGGGTCTCTAACCAACGGTTGCTGTCATCTCGCGGTCCCCAACCAGGTAGTCTACACCTACCAACATGACTCAGTTCACTTGTCAGTGACTTCATGGACTTGTGCCATGTTTTGGTTTGGCCGCCCCTAGCTTTCTTCCAACCTACTCCTATACCACTGAACATAGCACGTCGAGGCAGTCGGTCGTTGGGCATACGTAACACGTGTCCCAGCCATCTCAACTGATGAAGTTTCACTACGTCATCAATTGATTTGCCATCCTTACCTAGTACCCGTTTCCTAACAACTGTGTTACTTACTCGATGGTCCCATGATATATGAGCAATGTTTCGAAGACACCTATGATCAAATACTAGTAACCTACGGATATCCTCTACTCTTACCGGCCATGTTTCACTCCATAAAGTAGGACGGAACGAACTGCTGCGCAGTAAACACGTCCTTTGGTTGATAGACGGATATCTCGCCTACGCCATAAATGACGCAAGTTGGCAAAAGCTAATCGAGCCTTCTGTATCCGTGCTGAGATTTCGTCACACACTAAACCACAAGGGCTGATGAGACTTCCAAGATAAGTGAAGCGGTCGACACACTCAACTACTTCACTCCCTATCACTAGTTCGGGTGTCGATGTAACCCAATCCTGAAGCAACATTTTGCATTTCGAGGGAGCGAATCGCATCCCGAACATGCTTGCATTGTTGCTTAGAGTGGCCAGAAGACTGCATTTTGTCAGTGTCTTCACCAAATAAAACGAAGTGAGACGTTTCGCGGATTCGCAAGCAACTTTACTAGCCATTTTCATGGCGTCATGCAATTACAATCAATACTCATCTATATTTCTCGGTAGGATGGTAGCTAGCCTTGAACCTAGCTCAGTTTGATATTTAGTTGTAACAGAAGCTGCAACCAATTTGCTGACATCAATCCGTCTAGGACGATGAATTTGCTGGGCATTGAAAAGTAGGGCAAGATTAGCGCAAAACAAGCGCATGATCAGAGTTCAGATAGGTACTCCCTTAATTTCTGTTCGTTGTTGTTCTTTTTCTTGTACACACTTTACATTCTCCTCACATTTGCATTGTTATTGTGTGGCACATATGTATTTGATGCCCCTTTATATCAATTTTTGTGTTCAGTCAGTCAGTCAGCAACAACGTAGAACTTCGTGCGTACGTGCATCAGTTCGAGTTGCCACACCACATTAGCACAGAGATGCAGTGGTCAGATAGAAAATATACCAATTAGGATTAGCAGATAATTCAGATGTGACCAATCTAAAACTCCACAAACAGTAATAACCAGATCACTGCCCAGGTAATGACACTTAACCATAAGTTGGCAAGCCTTAGTCAGAGGATCAACTACGCTTTACTAACTAAAGAGTATGTATTACTCGAAACATGAAGTCCTTGGCTGGATTTCAACTATTTAAGTCATGATAATGGAAATGTTTAAACAAGCCCCATCCCTCCCACACAAATAGAAGGCACTGTTCAAATCCCTCCCTGAATTAATGTCCAAAAAGTTACCAATAAAATGTGGTATATTGGCCAACTACGTGATAACGACTAAACCAGTGGCTCATAATACTGGACTGTCATGAAAATGTTTAAGCAATCAAAAACACTCAAATGGGTAATCAGCGATAAAACTACGACAATAACATGAAAAATGTTAGTATAACTGTCCGGCTCATACTGAATATGAAGATATTGTATGTGAAGATATATCACGAAGCGGTAGGGATTGGAATGACTCGATAGGTTGGTAAATGGTATTATGAAAAAAATGAACTTTCTGATGTCACATTGTTTGTTGGACAACCTGTAAAACATTTATCGATATCCATTACAAAAGGACAAAGTTAGACGTTAAATGTTTTTTGGTTTGTGGAAAATATACTCCGCTGATAATATATGTGGCGGATATTATTTAAAATGTTTGCATTTGCATAAAAATCACATATGGACAGTGGATATCATGTTTCAGAACACCGTAAAACCGAGGGGCAGGAAAACTACTTACAGCTTTATTTGTATCACCAACTACAGTATGTTCAGTGTGACGTGAGCCATCATTCATTAGACGCTCCCATCGAGCCTTCCTTGCAAAGACGGGTAGATTGTGGTGGTCAGCTAGGCTATCCTACAAACTTCGCTCAATAACAAAATGACATACTCTGTTATACTTGACAGCTGAATTTCTAACAGATTTCTCTGGTTCTTTATGTAAGGGAATGCGTCTCAAGTCATCTTCCCATGATGCAATCTTAAAACCCGGGTAATTATACTACAATGAAAAACCTCTTTAGCCAAATCTGCTAGTTTCGACTTTGTCTTCTTTATTTCCATCCTATCTGGAGAACTGTATAAAAGCAAGCTGAAGCAAAAACCAAGAACCAAACCTCATTTTTCGTAATCCTTACGGCCCGCCTGCTACACAGAGTTACAATTCGGTGCGTTGAAACAAACTGTCATACTGAGAGACGACAGACAAGAAGCTTAAGTAGAGGTTACCGTGTACATTTTCAGTTTTTAGAATAATCTTATCATAACAGTGTCAAGATAACATATATACCGATGAGGTTTTCAAGGCAGTGGCATGTCACGGCAGATTACTTCAATACAGTCTTAATTTATGAACCCGAAGTATGACTGACTCCAGAAACATCATCTCGAAATTAGCTAACCACTATAGACCTCAGCCGAGAAGATGCACTAATGTTACCAAGCCCTATTTATGCAAAAAGATCATTGAGTGAACTATACTTCATATTGCTGAGGTAAATTCTGTTTCACTTTGGAACGGACAGGAAGCTAGATGGCCTGTGTTAGTCCCGGTAATGGTGGTCTTTCAGTTGCTTCAATTTTCTTCTAAAATGTCGATACATCGAACTCCAGTCACATGTTGAGTTAATTAATTCCATTCGTCGATGATTCGATAGGAAAGTCGATAGTCAGGTGACAAGTAATTTGTTCTGCGATTGTGAACTTTTTTGGAGTGTCCTAGCCAGTCGTGTATCATACGGAAACCTTACTATCCCGAGACTCAGCTTAGTTGCGGTCTTCCGAACCTTTTCCAACAACTCGCTGTCCCTTTTCTGTCAGGGGCTAGCCATGTGTATGCAGAACTCGAGTTCAAGACAAATGAATACTGTATACAAAGTCAAACGTTTTTTTAGAATCAGCATGACTAAAGGCACTAATTATTGACCATAGGGTTCCAAAATATTGTCAGCCATCGTACGGCAGTGTTCAGTAGTTTATAGCGACCCACGTGCAAATGGGTTTATTCTCATTTAACTCAGTTAAGCCCTTTTGCTAACTTATTTAGCGGACAAAGCCATCCGTACTATAACAATTTATTGTACCCTTATTATTTTGTGCTTGCATGAAATACGTATGCTTGAATATTGATTACTGCCTACGCATTTATTCACTCTGCTAGTCTTACTACTAACCGCTTATTCGATTCGATTACCCATTCATTTCACATGGTATATATATGTCCATGTTATTCATATTGAACACTCACTCACTCACTCGCTACTTACTCATTCGCTCACGCGCTCTCATCACGCTCTTGCTCTGGCCATCGCTCGCTTGCTTGCCTTTCGGCACAACTCTTCTATGCTTATTTAACGCATTTGTACATTTGGATATATGTGTGTGGTCTCGCAATAAACGTAATCAACACTTCGTATTTGCCTTCTGATTATTATGCCGTTGGGGCGTTATACAGAACGGTTAGCAAGACGAATTGTATACGAAGTTAAGGATTATATCGGATACCGACCACCACAAGTTTTTAAGTCTTGATTAACGATTTTTTCTAAGCCAGTGTGTGTCTGGGCAACTGGTAGCTCGGTGTTATTTATGTACATATCTGTACCTTGGTGACCAAGATGCATCAGAGTACAATTGGAAGTATTTACTGGCGACTGCCAAATCATAGACCAGTCACATGATCTTCGTAAGTCAGTTTGAAGTTCTAAACTATCATCTTTATATTTTATCACTTTCTATATCTTAACATAGTAGGCATATAGCAAAACCGATGATGATAAGAGACTAGAAAGGTCATTTACATACAGGAGGAACAACATTGTCCCCAAAACTGTACCCCGAAACACTCCGCCTATCATGGTTTCCCAGACAGACAACTTGGAATCCACCCGTACTCTTTTTGATGCGCAACTAGGAAGTCCTTTGTCCACATTATTAAATTGTCTCCAATCTCGATATTACTTACCTTGCATAAAAGCCGGTTGTAAGGAATTTCGTCAAAAGCCTTGCTGAAACCAATAAGGGCTAAGTCTATAGGCAACGTTTAATCTTTATAAGAGCACCAACTTTCACTGGTTACTAATAAGTTAGTGAGACATTAACAACGTTTGCTAAAACAATGCTGCTTTTCAGAAAGAATCCGGTTTTCGCCGAGACACCTAAACAACTTCCGAATATTTTCCAAAATTTTAAAGACCACGCTGGTTAGGCTTACGGGTCAATAGTTCCCGGGTTTATATCTCATACTCGTTTTGAAGATAGGAACTACTACAGCATTCTTCCAGTCTTTTAGTGGTCCACCCTGGGCTACAGATAGATTAAAACATGTGCTTAAGAGACTCTTGACGAAATCTGCTGATTTTTTTCTTAACCCAGGATCCATTCCACCGGGTCCTATGGATTTGCCCATACCAACGACATCAAGTTCCTTTATAGTCACAGTATCCAGTGTGTGTGTGGTTGGGTTCGTATGGACTGAAGAGGAGGGCACCCCTATGGTACATACATTTCTTGAGTATTTTGAAAGTATATGAGCTACAGCATAACTGTCCTTGAATATTGATGCATTACTACGGTCTCCCTACAACTCTGAAATGTTTTATTTTCCCTTAGTCCTTTGGTCTATGTGCGAGCGTGTTTAAGTAATCTATAGATTCACTAACAAGTCGCTCTTTGTATAACTTACTAAAGTCGTGGAGGATCGACGTACAAATATTTCAAGCTTCTCGATATTAAAATTTCGTCAATAAATCACTCTCACATTCTTATTCTCTTCCGGAGAAGGGTGTGAACCTCTTACTGAACCACAGTGAAGCTATTTCCAACTCCTTAGTGTATTGCGAGGGATGTGCGATGCAGTGACTCCTATATACAATTTTCTGAATACAACCCTAGCCATTACTATGAGGGATTCTGGTTCTGTGATCAACTTACAGAGGATGATGAGTGTATAATATTTTGCATGTTTGCCTTCCAGACATTTGGTCTGAATTGTGATGACTCATCCACGCTATTGGTAAGTATTTGGAAATCAAAGACTAGAACTGCATGGTCACTTTTGCCTAGGAGTGGCACTTAATCGAGTTTGTGACATTATCTTTATAATGGGTTAACATGAGACCGTGTAAGGATGATTCGGAACCCTAGGTGCTTCTTTCACATGTTGCACTAAGGTATGTGCGATAACGGCATCAACTGGTCTCTGTTCGAAAGAATTCTCTGACAATTCATTCGTCAGATTCTTCCAGCCTACCGTAGGCGAATTAAAGTTTCCTAAGATTAAGTATCGATCATCTGATGACTAAGTTGTTGCAATAGTCAGTGTAGAATCCAAACCACGGTTTGGATGTTGAAGAATAACCGTCCAGGTACTTTAGACACGCGCCCTTTCCCGTCGGAATCAAAACAAGTAATCGGGTAAATAGCGGTTCTATAATTCATCATAAATTTAAATGTAAATCGTTACCTAAACAAATATTACCACCCTGCTATTCAACCAATAATTGTTCAATCAATAAATCTAAATTACAATAAATAAAGGAGTTGATAAAAGATGAGGGAAAATTACCAGTCACAACAAATGAACGTTATTCTATCCTGGCTGGACAGAACACACGCACAAAAGGAGGAGCAAATCAATATGGTTACCGCCAAGAACAAGTGTCAAGTAAAACAACACAGATGCAGTTCGGGAAGAAACACAAATTTAGTGAATGCGTAAGAAAAACAAAAACTATAATAAAAAATACAAGTATTAACAATTCAAATGTAATCAAAAGACAACAATGTACAACTAAGGGGATCAATAGGAACAAAGCACAAGTATATACATGGAGGGATTTTCACCAACACACAAGACATTCAAAATGGATCTTACAGTCAGCGCTTTTCCATCCATTATGATACTTATTATCTCACTTAGCCAAGATGATCTGAGGGATTTAAGGGATTTGACTTATTACAATTCATAAATAAAGTCGAGTTAACTGCTAACAAACAATAAACCCTCCAATTTCATAGGTGTCGTAGAATATTTCCTTTATTGCGTTGGTCGTGAGATGATATCATAGATTAAAAAGGGGTGGACACCAAGAAATAAGAAATACCGTTTATAAGCCGGTGGATAAAGACAAGGTTTAATTTAATGCGCCTGATCTACAGAGGTTCTAACTTGAGTTGTTGGTATATTTGGTGTTAATCCTAGTTGTCGGAATACCCCGAAACAGCCTTAGTGAAACTTCTTCGAACACCAGTTTTCATCAAGTCATTACGCCTACAATTACTGTAAACTAGTATGCTATATTCAGTGATGGATATGATAATTTTTTGTGTAGTAATGATATCGATTCGATGTTATTGAAATTTATCATTATGAATCCAATGAGCTTTCTTGCTTTGGGTACTTGAAGTGTAATGTGCTTGAAAAAGTCCAAGTTGTTGCTATATTTCAAACCCAAGTCACGTAGTGTTGAGAAGTTTCAATGTATGTTTGTGTACAGCCAAATTTAGGTTAAGGCAGCGGCCAATGTGAATAAATCCACTTTTGTCAACATTCAGCGGCAGATTCCATGAAACAGTCCATTCGTATAACTTGTTCATTTATTCTTGAATTATCACTTAAATATAGATTCTTTGGTAAGAGAAGGGAATTAATAAACCACTTTTAAGTAGTCGGCAAAAAGGAAAGGTTTACCCCATTGAAAGGGTGAACACACGTCATTGATGATAACGAGAAAGAGTAATGGGCCAATCACATTTCCTTGTGTAACCCCATTGGTTAATCCACAGGCTTAGAGTAGGCGCCAAACTTCGAGATCAAAAAACCGGATTTCCTAACGACCGTCGTGCATTGACCAAATTGAGACACTATGAAGCATCGTTTAACAATCAATTGAACGAGACTGGTCACTATACATAAACTTCCTTGACAATGAGAAAGCATTTGACAGTGTGTACAGGAGGATATGATAGGACCTTATTAAACACTATGGTGTGAGTAGCTGGGAAGATCCTAAATATCATTCGGGATTGATACAACGGACCGCACTGAAAAGTGGTACATGGAG